GTAGGCTAATCAATATACAAGAGTTAAGTTCCTATGGCATCTTACCAAAGCTGTAACTAAATGGTGTTATTCAAGAACCTGTTATAAGTAGACACACTTCTCCAGGTGATTATGCAGGTGGCAGCAATCTAATCATGAGTCCTTAAAGTTAGAGAACCTGTCCCATCTCTAGTTAGAGGGTGACTTGACTACGGAAGCATCAAAGTTGCACACTGCTGGGTTTGAAGACAGAGAAAGGGAGCCGTGAGCCAAGTGATGTGAGTGGCCTGTCATGGGAAGAATATGGATTCTTCCCCAGAGCTTCCAGAAAGGAATGCAGCCCTGCTGACACCTTTATTTCAGCTCAGTGAGGCCCTGCCAGCGTCTGACTTAGAGAACTGTGAGATAATAAATTTGTGTTGTTTCACCACTGAGTCTGTGGTACTCTGTTACATCAGCCACAGGGAGCACTTGTCATTGTAACCTTGCGTAAGGACACACTCAGCAACTTACTATGCAAAGATGGTGCCGTTGTAGCCGCTCATGCACGACTCCACAATGCCTTTGGCCACGGTTGAGAACACAGACTCCTGCAAAGGTAAGCACCAAGTAAGTTAACATTTCATAAAAACAAAAACATTTTTCCTAAACTGCATCCTGAAACATAACAATAAAAGTAGCATGCTTAAATTTTTTAACATTTGTGATAACATGGGTATTCTATCTGCTGTAGAAAAAAGGCTGAAGCACTAAACTGACAAAACTTGGAACATGTTCATGTCCACTAATCCATGCTACCGGAGATCTACAGCTCACGTAGAGACAGGACACAGAACTTTGTTCAGCATGTCTCATGAGGTTACACTTGTATCAGCACAAAACGTAGAGCTCGATACATACATTGGTGCTTTTCTCGCCTGCTTGTACTCGTGAATCTCATTTTTATTTTCATTGTAACATATAAGTAGATGCAGTTTTATCAACAAAGCACGAACCCCTAGACCTGCACCGTCTAATACAGCAGCCATGAGCCAAAGGTGGCCATCGAGCACCTGGCGTGTGGCCACTCCAACCGGAGATGTGCTGTAAGTGCAGCACACACCCCTGATTTGGAAGGCTGAGCATGGGAAAAGAAAAAAGAAAAAAAGAAAAGGGAAGTACCTCGTTAATAACTTGTAATATGCTGATTACATGTTGAAAGGATATTTTGGGTATACTGGGTTAAATAAGATATAGAATTAAAATTAATTTTACCCTTTTCTAAAAGATTTTATTTATTTTTAGAGAGGGGAAGGGAAGGAGAAAGAGAGGGAGAGAAACATCAATGCGTGGTTGCCTCTCACATGTCCCCAACTGGGGACCTGGACTGCAACCCCGTCATGTACCCTGACTGGGAATTGAACTGGCGACCCTTGGGTTTGCATGTCGGCATTCGATCCATTGAGCCACACTGGCCAGGGCTGTCTTGTTTAATTTTTTTATGTGGCTACTAGAATGTTTTAAATTATACATGTGCCTCACTTTATATTTCCATTGCCCAGCCATGCCCTAGATGGAACAAAAACAACAACAACTAAAGATCTAAATGTCTCACCAAATACATTCATGTGTCCAGGGAGTAATCAAGAGCTGTGATGTCCAGTATAGCAGCCATTAGCCATATGTGACTATTTAAAGTTAAGTTAACTAAAATTCAATAACATTTAAGTCAGGTCATCAGATGGCTGCTTCACCTGAGAAACTGAATTTTAAATTTTATTGAATCTTTAAATAGCCAATACGTGGCTAGAGACTACTGTAATGGACAGTACAAATACAAAACATGTCCATCACTGCAGAAAGTTCTATTGGACAGTGCTGACTTGCTGTTAACTAAATTGTCCCTAATTGGAGAAGCAGTTATTGACACCACAGCAATCTCAAGTCTCTCACTCACTGTTACGGACTGACTGTTTGTGTCCTCCCCAAAATGCATATGTTGAACCCCTGATCCCCAATGAGATGGTATTTGGAGAAGGGCTTTGAGAGGTGGTTAGGTCTCCTCCCCTCCCTTACTCTCCCATTCTCTCCCTGCCCCTCCATCTCTCCACCGGGGACCACAGTGAGGAGGCAGGTGTCTACAAGCCAGGAAGGAGTCCTCACCAGACCCTGGACCTCCTGGCCTTGATAGCTTGGGATTCCCAACCTCCAGGAACTATGAATAATGAGTGTTTTTTGTTTGGGACACTGAGTTACGATACTTTTGCTACAATTGCCAGTGCTGACTAAGACACGCCCCTTATACCAGGCAGCCCCGCTGTGCGGATCAATCATCTGGGAGGCTCTGAAAAGCACAGCTTCACTGACCACCGTCACTGGATGGACAGGGGCAGGGAAGCAGGCTTGTCGTTCTGGTTTATGAAAGAAGAAAAATTATTTAATAAAATTAAATTTAAAATATTTGTGGAATGCTTGCCTTATCTGAGAGCTATCAAACTAAACAGACCAGAAACAAAGCCCTCACAAACAACAGACTTACATGTTCCCAATGGAAAGGTAAGGTCCGAGACCACCCCTACCTGAGTAGCGTCCATGCCAGCCACGTGATCGAAGGTGAAGGTCCGGGGCTCGGGGTTGGAGTGCAGCCGGAGCGTCGTGGAGGAGAGCGCGGACACGCACGCGTTCTGCTCTCCATCGGCTGATCCGGAACCCTCCGCGGGGGGCCGAATCCGCACAAAGACTTTGATGGCATCCCCTTCACTGCTAAAGACAAAAATGCAGCAGGCGAGTTCACCGGGGCGAAGAACACTAAGGAAGGATCTGAGGCTCATATCGCCTGCAGTGTTCCGATACTGAGAGTCCCCCAACCACGCCCACGATTTACCCCATTCCCCTCCTGTAACTGTCCCGCGGGACCCGCCCCCTTTACCCCTTCGCTTCAGGACCCTCATCTTCACAAGCCTGTTTTTGAAATCAGCTCGCAGGGAGTTGATTCCAAGGAGCTCCGAGCACTGCTTGTCCCTAATCTCCCTCCAACAGCAATAACACGATGAGTCACCCAGGGGAGAAGTACGCTACCGATTCCATCCTCCAGCCTGGAAGGTACGAGGGCAGGGGCTGGGGAGATGTGATACTTCTAAGTGGCCAAGGTCCAAGCTTCATTCTGAAATAAGCACCTTTCAAGTACCCTTACTATGCTAAATGGTTCTTTTAGGAAAACTACATCCCTAATTGTTTTTGGTGTCACTGACAAGATTTTTCCTTACCTTGGCTGGTTAGACTGACAATTTGTCACACTGCGTAACTCATCTAGGAAAAAAGATAAGATGTCATCAAAGGTGTTTAAAAGTGCAGCATAAAAACCCGCGTTTCCATCCGGCCTGCTCCGCAGGTGCTGACCCTCCTCCTCAGTCTCCTCAGCTCCCGGGTTTCCTGCCAGCAGGTGCCCCGGGCCCTGACCTTGGCCTTGCTCTGCTCTGCCCACGCCCACTCCACCGCTGACGACGCCCAGTCTCCCGGTTCTAAGTGCAGTGCGTATACTGGTGATTCCCAGATTTAAACTTCCTCCTGGAACCACATTTATCGCCTACTTGACGTCTCCAGTTCGATGTCCAATAGGCAAGGTTTCAAACTTAATGTGTCCAAAACCGAGCTCCGGATCGTCCCCACCCCACCGCCGCCACGCTTCTCCATCTCAATTAATGACAACTGCGCCTTTCCAGCTCCGCGGGCCCAAACCTGTCACTGCGAACCACTCCCTTCTCATACCCGTACCCGGTCTGTGAGCCGGTCCTGGACCTACCTCCAAAATACACCGGGAACCCTGCAACTTGTCAAACCCACCGCCGCGCCCACGTGGAATCAAGCCAGCAACGTCCCCTACCTGGGTGACTGCAACAGCCCGTCTCCCCGCTTCTCTCATTCCCTCACCGCCCGACTCCCACCTATTCTCCACCAGCAGGCAGTGCGATTCTGTTTTTTAAAAAGCCGTTTAAAAAGCCAGAGCCCTGCCTGGCGCGGCTCAGTGGTTTCTGAGCGCTGTCCCGTGAAGTGACAGGGCGCCGGGCCAGGTCCCTGGTCGGCGGTGGGAGTGAGGCAACCGATCGAGTTTCTCTCCCTCTCCGTCCCTTTCCTTTCCCCTCCCTCTAAAGACAAATAAAATGTTTAAAAAAAAAAAAAAGATGTCCGAGATCAACGTCTAGCACGACAGTGGGAGGAATTCCACTGACACATTGCCCAGCGGAACTAGTGCAATAAAAAATAAATAAATAAAAACCGTTTAAAGCCTCTAGAAATGGTCCTAAGGGCACACAGCAAAGGAAGAGAAATCAAGTGAAGAAATTTTTGGAAAATGCCGTGAGAAAGGTGAACGTCCGCCCTGGCTCGGGTGGCTCCGTGCATTGCGAGTCTACAGCCCTCCCAGGGGAAAGACGTGCTGGGACCACGGTCCCGTTCGCCCCTTCGGGAGGCGAGAGTGAGGACAGACGCGGAAGGTGGTGACAGCCGGGGCCGAGCCTCAGGCGAGGGAACCGGGAGAGGCGGCCCGGCCGGGACGCGGGAAGAGGACGGCTGCAAAACGCGCGGGGAGGGAAGGAAGAGCGAGCCTCGCTCCGGGGCAGCTCCGCGTCTGGTCCCCTGCCCGGCCCAAGGGAAGACAGCTGTTCCCTCAGGGTCTTTAAGGGACGAGGAGATTCCAAGCGCTCTGAGCCGCGCAGGTGGCTCCCGCCTTCCACACCCAGCGGGGGACCCAGCGGGAGGCGGGGGGCGGCCATTCTTCCCACCCAGTATTTGGGGGCGGGGGCAGGACTGGGCGACGACGCCCGGGGCTCCGTACTTACTTTTGGAGCCGGGCGCCATGGCGCCCTCACCCCCGGATCCCGAGGCCAACGCAGGGTTGCGCACACCTGCAGGTGCGCAGCGAGCCGGGATTGCGCTCGCTCAAGATGGCCGCGAATTTGAATTTGGCGCCCTCTTCGGACGTTGACGCAAGCCCCGAGGCCGCCATGTTGCCCGGCCGCGCGCCAAGGAGGCTGGGCCGGCGTGACGTCACGATGGGCGCCGTCGCCCCTGCACGATCTGGAGGCGACGCGGGGAGAACCGGTCTTCTCCTGAGCCACCATGAGCAAACGGAACCAGGTGTCCTACGTGCGGCCCGCCGAGCCGGCGTTCCTGGCCCGCTTCAAGGAGCGCGTCGGCTACAGGGAAGGGCCCACCGTGGAGACCAAGGTGAGCCCCGCCCCGCCACTTCCGGCATCTGCTCGGCCTGGGAGGCCGGGTATTGACAGGTCGCTCGTCTCACCGCGCCGGCCCTCGATCCCACGGGGCCTCGGACCCCCGGCTGGTCGAACGACTACAGCCTCTTGTGCCCAGGGAACTCTTTATCATTCTTAGGGGGCTGCTCAGTTCTCGACAACGCCTGGACGCAGGTAGAGCGCCTCGTCCCTGGGAGCGGGCGAAGAAAGATCCCTTTCCTGGCTCTCACTCGCTTATTCCCAAACCCAAAGTTAGCAGCGCGGATGGTAGTGTCGTTCGGCTTTCCAGGTAAACTGAGGCCACTTGCTGAAATGACCCGATGTCGTAGGCCTTGAGTCTGCAGCATCTTCGGAGGGATGCTCTGGATCTGATCCTGTGCTTTGCTGTTACGTTAGTGAAAAAGGATGCAAATGCCACATCTGGATAGTTTAGGGGTGGGATCAGTGGGTCAACTTTGGAGCCCTCCCAGGCTTCAACCCTAACTGGTTCACACCCAAACCTGTCCCCCTGCTGGGAAGAGACTGTTGGGCTCAGGGGGTGTGTGGAGAAATAAAGAATTTACTTATTTAGTAGCACTTCGCGTCTGGCACTTGCACTAAGACCCACCCCTCAAGGCACTTAGAGCTTAAGAGACAGACTGACTTATGCGAAATTCCTCAGTTCAGTGAGTATGTGCTAAACCCAGGCACTCTTCCTGGCTCCGAAAGGACCAAGAGATGGGATCCCCAAATGCCATATTCTTTAACCCCTCCCTGCCTGCCTCATCTCTGCCTTCAGAGGTCACGGCCTCGGACGCTTTTTGAAGCTCCCCCAGTTTTTCCTCTTCTCTCCTTCACTTTGTCCATATCATCTGTAATCATTCATATGGTTTTGCATCGCAATTACTTGCTCCTGTGTTAGTATCTTAGTGCCTCTGATTCTCCCCACCACCTAGCACAGGGCCTGGCACTGCAGTGGGTGACAAGTTACATTGGTTAGATGACTCTGCTTGTCATCAGGCCAGGCTTCATGGAGGAGGGGATATTTCGACTGGATGCAGAGTGTGGCTAGGTCAGCAGGTAGGGATGGAAGGAGCAGCAGGGGTAGAGTGTAGAGGGGGTGAGTTGTGGGAGGTGTGTAAAGGTGATTGAGGGGCTGCCGGAGGTGAGGCCACGTGGACTACTCAGTAGGCGACGAGCCGTTTTTGGTTAGGGGCGACAGGACCAGGGAGTGACTGATTCCCAGGACCAGAAACGGGCCTGGTGGCACAGGGCATGAGGTTTGAGAAAGGGACATGGATTCAGCAACGCCGAAAATGTGAGAGCCGAGTTTCTAGTTCGCCGGAGAGCTGGTGATGATCGTGTTTCATGGTTAACGCCTTAACGACTACAGTTCGGACCGCCGACTCAGGAGAACTCTGGAAGGAAGAGCTTTCCAAGCAATACCAGTGGTTTGGGCTTATTTAGTCAACAGATTTTTCCTTAAAGAGATGACCCACTTTCCTTGGTTTGTGAAAGAAACTTCATGTTTAATCGGTTTGGCAATATAATCAGCGTTCTGGTGATCTGTTAACAAAAAGAAAATAGTTTCTTGTATAACCAACTGAGTTCTACATCATCTTATCCGCCTTCTGGAGAGCTAATCAGTGGTGGCCGCCACTGTTCCTTGGACTGTTCTCTGGTTTTCCAGCCAGTCGTATAAACGAAAAGTCAGGCTTAATGATTCTCTCTCTCATTGTAATGAACAGCAGGAATGATTTTATTGCACTTTCCCCTTTCCTCGGCTTACAGTAGTTATCGATTACCTACTTGTTTGAGGTCATTTATTGGAAACTTTCAGAGACCAATAGGCGGCACTTATGCATAATCAGTGAATGGGTATCATTAGAGGGAATACCCTTGTCGGGCGATGGAGCAGACACGGGGTGTAGACAAAATAGACGAATGTGCCTGTGAGTCAAGTTCATCGTTTTTCATCCTGTTGGTCGTTCAAGAACAGATCAGCAAACACTTCTTGTCCCTGCTGTTGACGAGGCTGTGTTTTTAGATACCGGCAGCCGTTTAGTGGGGCGGAGAGGAAACACCATTGGTAACACGCACGCTACCTTGAGCTCTGTGCAGTGTGAGGAGGGGCAGGTGCCATCAGGGAGGCACTTCTAGAGGATCTAGGTCAAGGGCGGAGATTGAGTAGCAGTTAGGCAAGTCAGTGGGGTTTTCTGGGCCCTGGGAACTGTAGAGGGAGGGTAGGCCCAGGCGCTTATGTGTTTGTGGATGTGCAGTACCCAAAGCTGGCTGGAGCTCAGCGGCCGGGGGCGCGGTGGAGGGTAGTTCTCCAGTGACAGGGCGAGGCCAGAGCAGCAGGGCTTTGTTGTCCTGTGTGGGGGACAAGGAGGGCTCTGTGAGAGGGGAACTGACAAGCTGTTTGAATAATGTGTGACCATGTGCAAGACTTTCAGTCAACCCAGCAGTTCCACTCCCGTGAATCCATCTTACACGTAAATTTGCAAAAGTGAACCAAAACACGTGAAAAATTTTTAGCATAGTGGGAAAAACCTAGAAACAAGCAAAAAAATTTATTTACAATGTACTGGTCAGACCAGGAGGGGATCGTGTATATAATTAAGTAGGCAGCAATGATTTTTAAAAATAGATCCTTCCATATGTATCTCAAGGTATTATATTGTGCAAAGATAGTGTTTGAGTAAAAAGTTAGGGGTGGGGCTTTTGTGGTATCCGACATATTTAAAAAACCTGAATCAACTGGCTAAATGTTACCATCTGTTACGTGTATATAGTGAGTACATGGTTTCTGTTCTCATTCTGTATGCTTTTTATGTTTGGAGAATTCATAATTTAAAAAGAGAAGGAAGCACATCAGCCCTGGCTGCATACTGAAAAGTCACCGGTTCGGTTCCAGGTCGGGGCACGTGCCTGGCTGGCAGGTGATCTCCGGGTGGGACGTGTGCAAAAGACAACCCATCGGTGCTTCTCTCTCGCATCAGTGTTTCTCTCTCTCCTTCTCCCTCCCTCCCCCTCTCTCTAAAAAATAAATAAATACATAAAATCTTTTTTAAAATGAAAGCACATCATATAGCAGCATGTACAGTGACCTGTGCATACACACAGCGCTTTGTGTACCTCCGTGTTTTTACACGCTCAGAGCACGGCTGATAGGGTACCTCCTAAACCAGAGACGAGCAGAGGCGGGAGAAAGAGTACCTTTTACTGCTGCTTTCTGTACTTGGTGGTGTTTATTTTTTGGTCCCAGTTTGAGAAGAGATGGCAGTGGCAAGGGCTGACAAAGAGCAGAGACAAGTGATGTGGTTCTGCACTGTCCTGAGCAGGCTGGGAGGCCCGGCAGTGGGCGAAGCAGAGGGCCCCCCCACACTGGGCACTGCCGCTGGGGTCCTGCCGAGAGGGAGACTAATCCCATGGCGTGGGCACCCCGGGGTATCTGGCAGCCAGCCGCTTCCCTACCTGGCAGGTTAGGCTCTTAAGAGTGACTTCAAAATTCATTGCCAAACACATTTAGTCAATAAAGTTACCTTTCTGACCTTAGTAATTACAGTTTCTCAGAGACAGCGGTTAGCGGTTGTATTTGGTTCAGGGTCGGTGACCTACAAATCGTGTCTGTGTTGCTGTCCCCTAGAGAATCCAGCCTCAGCTCCCAGATGAAGATGGTGACCACAGTGACAAAGAAGATGAACAGCCTCAAGTGGTGGTTTTAAAAAAGGGAGACCTGTCAGCTGAAGAAGTCATGAAAATTAAAGCAGAAATAAAGGCTGCCAAAGCAGGTGAGTCTGAGTGTAATCGGTCTTTTTAACAATTTAAGGAGCCAGAGTATGAAATTACTTTATATAATACTGCGGTACGTTTGAAGGACGCGGTCCTAGGTTCAACCTTGGCTTTCACACGTGCCAGGTGTGTGACCTTGTTCAAGTTATTTCACCTTTCAACCTTGGTGACCTCATCTGTAAAATGGGGACAACAAGTGTGCCTGCCTTTTGGGGTTGTTATGAGGATTAAGTGTGAATTTAAGTAAAAACATTTTGTTCCTTAAAAAAATAGGTGGTTAGGTTCATAAACTAGTCAACAGAGATCTATGTAATTAGTGCCTGAAGTGTGGCATGCTATGTAGTATATGTTTTACTCTCTGTAACTATGTATTACATTGCTTTAGGGGAAAATGGAGTTAAAGTCACTTTTCAAAATCGTTAAAAACACAGCCTAGCTGGAATGCAGCAAGGACGGCAGTATCATGGGGCGGCGGGGCGGTGAGTTTTCACCCAGGGTCTGCACGGAGTGGCGGCCGTGGGGAAGACCAAACTGAACTGCGTCCAGATTTTCCTTAAATATGGTCCAAAGTTTTCTTGTCATATGACTCTCTGATAAAGGCAAAACAGTGAGTAGAAAAAAGTCCTGTAACTTTGTTTTTGCTGCAGATGAAGAACCAGCTTCAGCTGATGGAAGAATCATGTATCGAAAACCAGTCAAGCGTTCCCCAGATGAAAAATACTCAGGTTTAACAGCAAGCTCAAAAAAGAAAAAGACAAGCGAAGATGAAATAAATAAGCAGGAACCAGTTAAAAAGAACTCACAAAAGCAAATCAAAAACAGTAGCCTCCTTTCTTTTGACAGTGACGATGAAAATTAATAAGTATAAGCATTTTGGACTTAGTCTTTATGAGCATTTGGGGTGTTTTTAAAAATAATATTTTCCTATTATAAAGATAATACAAGTGCATTATGGAAAATTTTAAAATGCAAAAAAAAATAAGATAAAAACTTTGTCTATTCATCACTACTCCTTTCCTTTGACTTGAAATGCTAAATCTGTAGACATTAGCTAGTACAGTATTAACACTGTTAATTCCCGTCTGGGGTGTGTATGTATGTAAGTTATAATTTAACAAAATTGAGATGGTATTATGTCCCCTATCCTGCTTCTCCCTTGACATTCTATTTTGAGTATTTTTCCAGGTTAGTAAAATTCAAACATCTAACATTAATGGCTACATTAATTTAATTTTGAAATTAAAAGGTCCCTTATTGTATCTTTCTCATTAGCAAAACCCCACTTTGGGTGGGAGAGACCATAATGTGTCTGGTTAAGAATACTTCCCTACCTCCTGCTAACAGTAGCCGCATGAGAGTTCTGGCAGGTTATGAGATACAGGTGGGTCTTGTACAGGTAAGGATCTAATACAAATGATCTCGATACAAATCAGGGTCTAATGTGTAACATGGGGACTGTCATTGGTAAAACTAAAAAGAGAAATATAAGCGGAAGTCTGCTTAATAAAGCTACTAGGTCTTTTGATACAAAAGGACAGATTTGGTGAGCGTGAACCTTTGTCCAGTTTTATTGAGAAAAAGGCATAAATCACTGTAAGTTTAAGGCATACAGCATAATGGTTTAATTTACATCTATTGTGAAAAGTATTTGAATAGTTTTAAAGCTTTTAATGCTTACTTTCAAATTGCTTTCTAAAGAGATTTTTACCATTTACACTTTGCCTTATCCATGATAACAGTGCACCAGCCATGGGCTAGAACTGGTCTTTTCATTTCTGTCAATTTGATGTACTGAAAATGGTGTTTACGAGCCCTGGCTGGCGTAGCTCAGTGGATTGAGCACGGGCTGCGAATCAAAGTGTTGCAGGTTCGATTCCCAGTGAGGGCACACGCCCGGGTTGCAGGCCACAGCCCCCAGCAACCGCACATTGATGATCTCCCTCTCTCTTTCTCCCTCCCTTCCCTCTCTAAAAATAAATAAAATCTTTAAAAAAGGTAAAAAAAAAAAAAGAAAGAAAGCAAATGGTGTTTACTACTAGTTTAATTCCATTGACATTTTCTTCGATTTACCAGGGAAACTAAGCTGTTTTTCATATTTAACAGACCATTTTGTATTTCTTTGTCCAATTAATTTCTTGTTGATTTTCCATTCGTAGAGTGATATTTTTCTTACTAACTTGTAAATTATGTAATCTATGTCTTTTTTGTTGTTGGTCTCTGTATCAGATAAAGAATCACTTGGATTACTTGGATTCTCTTGTTCTTTGTTTTTATTTTTTACATTTTAAACTTTGTTCCCTCCGGAGTTTATTTTGGTATATACCTTTTTTCTTGGATGATTAATAATTCTAGGACCTTATCTATTTCTCACTTACTGGAAAGGCCGTCCGAATGGGAGATTTCTCCAGTTTGGGGGAGGGAAAGGGAGAAACACAGAAAAGCCAGAGCCTTTCAAGATCCCGCTTAATGTCCTGACAATTTTCCTTATTACTGCGAGTCAGCCAGAACCTTCACCGGCCCAGCCATCAGGAGTTACGAATTTCAGAGCATCCAGTAGTGAATTTGGTACCACATTTACCTCTCCCCCTTTTCAGAACTAGTGTAAAGAATACTCACAAGCAACTCGTGTGAGTGGGCTGGGAGCCCTGAGATTGTCTCTTAGCTATCTAACCGAGGCCCGAAGGCGTTCTGCAGCACTGTCCTTAATGTTACACTCACTTGTTACATAAGCCAAGTATTTTCCTGGTCTGCATCATTGCTGTCTACTCGTACCAACATCACACTGTTTTAATTACTGTGAGTTTTAATGTCTTCACCTAGAGGTGGGAATCTTGAGGGCGGAGACTTTGTTTTATTTACCACTATATCCTCAGTACCCAGAACAATACCAAGACTGTTAAGAGGATTATAAATATAGTTAGAATGAATGAGACTGTTTCTCTGATGTGTTTATTTCATTGGGGGTGGTAGATTATGGTTGTTTTGTTTGTTAACAGACCAGTGGTTCTTAAAGGTGTGGGTCCAGGACTGCTGGCTCAGCACACCTTGGGAACTTAAAAATGCAAACTCTCAGGCCTTGCCCCGTGAATCTGGAAGTGCTGGGTCAGGACCCAGAATTCTCTGTAACAGGCCTGCCAGGTGGTTCTGATGCTCACTCAAACTTGAGAAATGCTGATAAAAAGCCGATTTATTAGAATCACAGTAAGTGAAATTAAAAAATTTAAAAAATAAGAGAGACCATTTAAAAGGTCTTAAATCTTTTTCTTTTAATTTTATTAATTGATTTTTAGAGAGAGGGAGGGGGAGAAAGACAAATTCGTTGTTCCACTCATTTATGCACTCACTGGTTGATTCCCACATATGCCCTGACTGGGGGCCAAACCTGCAGCCTTGTGGTATATCGGGGCAACACTCTAACCAACTGAGCTACTCAGCCAGAGCAGAAGGTCTTTAATCTTGGAATTTTTCATATTGAAGCCTTTACCATAGTAACATTTCTAACCATACAAGTGTAAGAGTTACCAGCCAGGAAGCACATCGTGTGATGAAAGACCAAGATACGGTGGCCCGTGAGCTCTGCTGAGCAGCCTCAGGAAAACTGCTTCACCTTCTGTAAACTGTTTCTAAGAACACTGGGTTCAGCTAACGGCAGGATCTCTTTTGCTGAGAAAGATGGATTTGGGGCCAGAGAAGACTGTACTCCCCTACTGCCCCTCAGGAAGGGAGCATATGAGCAGGGCTAGACAGGCAGGCCAATAAGGTGATCCCTGCGTGGAGGCAAGGAGAGCAAAAAGAGCCTGGAACACCTTGTGCCCGAAAGAGAGAAGGTACGCAGAGAAGAATGGGGGCGTGTCAAAGGGACGTAAGTGAGGGAGAAGGGGTAGGTCTTTATAGAATGCTGATTACCAATGGCCAAATCTGAAACGACTTGAACAAGAAAATAAAAGCTAATAGTAGACTGCAACTCACATAATAAAAATTCTTCCAGCTATAAATCAATCAACTATTAAACAAGTGTGAGAAAAGCAGGAATGATGGAAACAGAAAAATCACCACTTGGCAAATTCCACAGTAATAGGTTGCAGCCTGGACGGCGGCCTCCAAAGAGATAGGTCCCACGCCCTGGAACCTGTGAATGTCTCCATGGTGAAGTTTTTGCAGATGTGTTCAACTTAAAGCTCTTGAGGTCAATAGGTAACACTAGATTATCTAAAAGGCAGCAGGCAGAGGGAGGTCAGACACAGAGCAGGCAACGTGAAGACAGGCAGAGACTGGAAGGGTGCGGCTACAAGCCGAAGTGTGCCAGCAGCCGCCAGCAGCCGGAAGAAACAAGGAACACAGTCTCCCGAAGTCTTCAGAGGGAGTGCAGCCCTATCCGCACCCGGACTTCAGCCTGACAGCCTCTGGCTTCCGGAACTCAGAGAACGCATTTCTGTTCCTCTAAGCCACCAAGCTTGTGACAATCGGTTACAACAGCCATATATAGGAAACAAATATATAAGTGAGGTTGGATAGATTCATCAAAGTGTCAAAAAAAAAAAGGGGGTCAAAATCAGTAGCCAAAAATATTGAAAAGTGGAATATTTACAGTCTCAAAGTGTGTCTCCTCAAGATACTTATTATAAAAGGGAAATTACTGGTTTCACAGTGGAGAAGCCCAAGAGATGCCACCTAATCTGAAGGGTCAAAGGTACCATCACCAGTAATAAGTCATACTGACATCACGACCGGATGATGCACTGAGAAGGCTCATCACTTCCAGAGCCCAGGATCCTTCTAGGCCTTCCTGGTGCCCTTTTCTAGGACAGGCTTCTCAAGGGCACCCGTGTCCATACCGAGGAGGCCAAAATCCTGGGATGTGGTAATGGTGCAGGAACGTCGAGACTGTTTCTGAGAAAAAATACATTGAGAACCAAAAACAAACCCCAAAAACTAATGCTGAGCTTTGCTTGTTTTTATTAGCCACATTTACAAATTTTTGGAACATCTGTAACTCAACCAATTAATGGCAGTTCTTTATTATGTACAGCTCAATTTATTCTCGAGAGAACCCTAGCAACAGTCCTCACTGTTCTCTGCAGCAGGAGGCCAGGGACAGCTGAGACTCAGCATAAGGTCACGTACCTGGTAAGAGGCAGAGAAGGAACAAACTCAGGGCTGTCTGGTGCTGAGTCTATTTTTTTTTTTTTAATTTTAATTGTTGCTGAGTCTATTTTTTAACTTTCAGGACCCACTACCTTTTGCCCGACATACAAAACATTTCATCCCAACTGCGGACTGAGTCTTAAACTTTCAAGAAGTTAGGGGAAAATGGAGCTTTCACACTAGTCTTTCCACACTGGTTACATCCCAAGTTTTATTCTCCAGCATGAAGCTTCTGATGCCGAACAAGTGCTGAGCGGTGATGTCTAAAGCACTTCCCACACCTGACGCATTCAGAAAGCCTTTCTCCAGTGTGAATCCCATAATGTTCACCTAGGTGGGCTTGCTTGTGGAAAGGTTTTTCACACGCGCTACACTTACAAAGTTTCCCTCCAGTGTGAGTTCTCTCGTGTCCCACAAGGGAAGAGTCCTGCGTGAAGGCTTTACCACAGTCGTCACAAGTGGAGGGCTTCTCTCCTGAATGCATCCTCTGATGCCGCATGAGGCATGCACTCTGACGGAAGGCCTTCCCACAGTCATTATACTTGAAAGGTTTATTTCCAGAGTGACTTCTCTGAGGACGAGTAAGGCATACGCTCTGACTGAAGGCTTTGCCACATCCCGTGCATTTATACGGTGTCTCTCCAGTGTGGATCCGCAGGCGTTTAGTAAGGGAGGGACTCTGACAAACGGCTTTGCCACACTCATTGCATTTACAGGGTTTCTCTCCAGTGTGAATTCTCAGATGCTGGACAAGAACTGCTTTTGTTTGAAAGGTTTTCTCACATTCATTACATTTATAAGGTTTCTCTCCCATGTGAATCCTCAGATGTTGAGTAAGATTCAACTGTTTATGGAAACAGGTCCCGCACTCACTGCATGCGTAGGGCTGCTCCCCTGTGTGAATCCCCTGATGCTGATAAGAGATGGCCTCTGAGTGAAGAACTTCCCACACTCACTGCACTCCGAAGGTTTCTTCTGCATGCCGAGTCTCCGATGTTTCACCGGCAGTGGGATCTGGCAAGAACTCGTGTTATGTTTAACACAGTGAAGGGGCATCTGTCCAGCAGGTTCAGGTTTACAAGAAACCATTTCTCACATTCATGACAGTTACAAGGTACTCTCTCAGAGATGATTGTCATTAGAGCCACATTTGTTTCCTGGGAAAGGGCTGAGTGTACATTTGCGTGGGAGGTCCTCCCAACCATTCCCGCAGGATTCCCCCTCCTGTTCTTTGTTCAGCGTGCGTCTTCAGTTTCTCCGGATGTGAGCCCTGGTGACCAGGCTCCCTGCCTCTCCACCTCTTCCTCCAGTCATCTAACACGTGCCTTCTGGGTTGGTCTTCTCACCTGAAAAAGAGTTCACAAAAGAAAATGTCCTCTGTGCGAAACAGGGGTCTCCGTGCGGAGTCTCGACTTTTATCCTCTTGTCAATAATGAGAAAGGAGATCACAATGACCTGGGGAATCGATCAGAAGAGGTGACAGAAACAGATCAAGTAGTGACAGGTCTTGGGAAATCTATAAGATTCCCTATAGCGATTGATTCCCATGCAGGAAAACTGAGGGAACCAAGCCACCGTCATCGGTGACTCTGGAGGCACAGAACTAAAGCAAGACTGAAATAACTGGATCATCCTAACGGCATCAAACTCGGAAACCCTGGTGCCCTGAATAAGGGCACACGGAGTCAGACAGTGGATGTTCAGGTCCCGCACTCCAAAGCAAGCTTTTGCCTGGATGACGCTGGAAACACCAACACATTCTTATTCTGGGGCTACTTTTCTAATTACGTTACACATAAACATATCCTCACTTACAAATATTTAGATAATATGGAAGTATATGGGATAAAATAGTAATTTTTATAACCATCACTACCCCACCATACCCAAACAAACCCATTTTCTTCTCAAAAGATTATCATCACTAAATTTGGAATATGTTCTTTGAGTCTTTTTACTACATATTTTCAACACACACATAGCATTTGGTTCTTACATACATGAAATCATTCTATGGGTGCTGCTATGCAATTTGCCATTTTTTCACTAACAGTGTGTCTTAGAGATCATGGCACGTTAGTACATACGCATCTTCTGGGCTGAGAACAAACCGGTCCACACTGATGTATCCGCATGGACTGTTCACCGTCAGGGACTGATCTGATGGGCAGTCCTGACCCACACTGGATCTTAAACATGTTGACTCTTTTGCCTGAACCTATCTCTCTGCTGTATAAATGCCCAGTATGCACACATAAAAATAAATTTTAGGTGATTTAAAAAGGTAACATAAAACCAAAACTCTAACCACACTTTTATTTCCCTTATTGTCCCAAAATAAAAAAAGTTTTTAAAAATCATATAAAGAATGCATGCTCATCCTAGAAAAGTCAGTCTAAAAATGAAATCACTGCCCTGGCCGGCGCGGCTCAGTTGGTTGGGTGTCGTCCTGCAAAGAAAGCGGTCGCCTGTGCGATTTCCCGTCAGGACACACGCCTGGGCTGCAAGCCTGGTCCCTGGTTGGGGCACGTGCGAGAGGCAGCCGATTGATGTTTCTCCCTTACTTTGATATTACCCTCTCTTCTCCTTCCTTTCCCCTCTCTCTAAATAAATACATAAAATCTTTAAAAAAATAAGTAATTAAAAATAAAAATGAAATTACTTGAAACCCTACCAGTCAGAGAAAACAGTTGGTATTTTGAAGAACTTTCTCTGAGACATCTCTCAATGCCTGTACACATATGCAGATACATGCACACACGTATTATGTGTGCATATTAGACTAGACTGAGTCTTCAGAATATAAATGGTCCTGATCTAGTCACAAGTCCCATAATCTAAAGACCCGGCTCACCCAGCCAGGTTCTTCCCGAGTTCAGCAGATACCCAGGCTCCCCTGCTCTCTGACGGTGAATAACAATGGCAGTCATGATTACTGAGGCTCTCGTTCCAAACGGCCAGGAGTCCCTTGCATATTGCCTGAGGAAACGATCACCTTTCAACAGATCTGCCCGCAATGTATCATCAGTGTCCGCAGACCTGACCACACCAGTAAGGCACCCTTAGCGGTTCAGTGAGTGGCTTCAAGGTGCCCCACCAGATGACTGCAGGGGGCAGCTGGTCTGGCTGCAGTGTAAGAACATGCGATGAAAGAACTAGTGCACTCTATGATCTGTCCTCTAACCAATTACTCCCCAGCCTTCTGACTTCAATGAGACGGTCCCCTTTCTTGGTGGTTCTGTGTTTTCAGTCTGAAGGGTCTAGCTACAGTGGCCACTGGTGGGTCCCACTGCAGGTCTGCCACCACTGCTGAATGAGCACCCCATAACAATCCACCTCGGGCTCTCCAGTTCGATTTCACTTACCCAGGGATACGCTGTTGGGAGCACAAGTGACACTGGTTCGTCATCTTCCCCAGGAAGGGCAGGGTCTGCGGCACGGAGGGAGAAGAAAAGGCACCCATAAATAGTCGGCCTACTTCACAGTCTGGGTTCAGGGGAACCCAGGAATACCCCATCCCTAACCAAATGACTTTTTTTTGTTTTTAAGATTTTACTTATTTTCAGAGAGAGGGGAAGGGAAGAAGAAATGGAGAGAAACATGTCATTTGCCTCTTGCTTGCCCCCAACCAGGGACCTGGACCTCAATGCAGGCATGTGCCCTGACTAGGAATCGAACGGGCGACCTTTTGGTTTGCAGGCCGGCGGCCAATCCACTGAGCCACACCAGCCAGAGCCCAAAGGGCTACTTTAAGTCTGAATAAAAGAATATCACTATTCTAGCAGATCATCATTAAGGACAAAAAGGTCAGTTAGTGGGTGGACTTCAGGGAGACGTGACAATGCGCAGAGAAAGAGGGCCGGTGCTCCTAAGAACTGAGCATCCTCGGGTAAACACTCTCCCCAGGAGATGATGGAGGAGCCCAAAGACTGCCCCCCCCCCCCGCCCAGCCCCAATCTAGTACAGACGCCACTGGCTTCAAAGTTCAAAGGCTGTAGGGCCACGGTAGAGGGCAGTCAGACAGGCCCTAGACTGAGTCAAGAGGCCTGGGTTCTAATCTCTACCACTAACTTGTTCAGTGACCTGAAGCAAGTCACTCAATATCAACTGATTTTTTTTCTTATCTGTGAAAACATATTCAGAAACGAGATATCTAAAGCTTCTTCCACTACCAACATTGTGATTCTTTGATTCTGAAAAACAGATGGAAAAAAAGCAAAAACCTCAATCAAGACCTTCCAGCCCACCTTTGCCTGACACTGGAGATCCCATTATTTTATTTGAAAGGTACAAGCTGGGCAGCTACCATGGGCCAAGCAAGCAGATCACCCGTTTTGAGAACGGGCTGGGTGAACAGCAGGGGGACTCCCCAGTTCTTTTCCCCCAGTCAGGGTTGGAGGGATTTCAGCAAAGTAAGGCTGCCTCTGTGTGAAGCAGAAACTTCAGAAAGGACACGGGGAGTCTGCTGGGAGATGTTAAGGACCCCTCCTGAGAGGAAAGGTTTTAGGAACCCCTCTCTGGCCAGAAAGGAGGGAACACTGGGCCAGAAGGCATGGGCCTGGTTTCCAGTCTTATCCTCCCAACCCACCAGCACCTCCTACTGGATACTGCACAAAGCACTTTCAAAGTCTAACATTTAGGTCAAACGGAAACCAGCCCTCTCCTTTGAGGAAACTTTTCCCGTTTCAAGGCACTTCCCCTCGGTGTTCTGAAAGAATGTCACGTCTCCGCTGTAGCACTGCCCACTCTGTGTTTTAACACTGATTATGATCTGATTCCTCCACAAGCCTGAAGACAAGCGTGGCATGGGCTCTGGGGCTGGCACTCTCGGGTTCGAACCCCAGCGCCAGCGTGTATTAGCTAAGTGGCCTTGGTAAGTTACTTAACCTTTCTGTGCTCCCGCATCTTCAAAGTTAAGAGGCGATAACAAGTACTTCATATAGTTGTGACGATGCATAAGTGAGTAGTTAGAAGAATACCAGTAGGTAAGCATTCCATAAATGCTACCTGCTGTTAAGTCACTCCTGAGTCTATGTGTCTTCATATGTAGTTACTTTTAGAGAATAAAAACTTAATGAAAAGAAGATGGTAACCTACGTATGGTATACTCATGCCACAGACACCTTGTGAAGCAGCAAAGCAAGGACCAGCATTGCTTCTGGAAATCAGAAAAAGTAGTGCCCAGAGGTCCGCTTGCTCAATCGACTACATGCAAATGGAACCCAGGTCTCCAACTCCCAGGCCAGGGCTCTCCAGCAGCCTTGCTGCTTCCCTCTCCAGAGGAGCTGGCCCCATCCATGGCCTCCTCTCCAAAGGACCCTGCTCACGCTGCAGGTGGTGCTGTGGCCCCATGCCCTGCGTCCAAGGGAATTGCCAGGAGGTGGGGGTGGGGTTGGGATCGCTGCAACCCAGCAAGGTGGACACGGCTCTGCAGGGGTCCCACTTGCACCCCAAGGTCCCCTGTGGCCCAGCTGGCACTACCTCACAGCCCTTGCTGCAGGCCATAGCCACTGCCGTCTGCTCTAGGAAGGCTGGGGCGGCTTCCTTTCTCTTGGTGGTTCCTCCCGGGCCCAGAGCCAAGCTCCAGAAAGTGCACAAACCCATCTCAGCAGGCACCCTTTGTAGTAAGGAAGCAGAAGGAGCCCTGGCTGGTGTGGTTCAGTGGATTGAGCACCAGCCTGTGAACCAAAGGGTCACTAGTTCAATTCCTAGTCAAGGCACATGCCTGAGTTGCTGGCCAGGTCCCCAGTTGGGGGCACATGAGAGGCAACCATACATTGATGTTTCATGGAGGAAGCAGAAGGGAAGTAAGAGTGGGGGCCGGCCAGCCACGCTGTCTGCTTAGCTTCATATCCCTCTTGTGCAGAAGCAGGCACTGTGTAAACACTTGAATAAACATTTGTATGAGATGCAGCGGAGAAGTGACCTGCTCCATTTTCCAGATGTTCTCCCAAAATGGAGTCCATCATTTAGAACCTGAAATCAGGTGTGCAGATGCCACAGACTAACCATCTTCCCCTAAAGGAGCACCCTTGCCCTGACCAGCGTGGCTCCATTGGTCAAGTGTTATCACACAGAAGTGAACGGCCACCAGTTCAATTCCCAGTCAGGGCACCTGCCTGTGTTGCAGGTTCGGTCCCCAGCTGAGGTGCTCATGAGAGGCAACTAATCAATGTTACTCTGTTGCGTGGATGTTTCTCTCCCTTTCTCCCTCCATTCCCTCTCTAAAAATACGTAAAATATTTAAAGAAATAAAAGAGCACCCTTTGTGCAACTGTCAGCTGGCTGGGGAATAACGCCGAGCTCGCCCATTACCAGTGTCGGTCTCGGCGCTCCTCTAAGTCACACAACAAGTTTGTCTCTGCAGCCCTAGCATCTCACAGGCCAGAGGACTGGGGCCCATTCGTATTTCCCAACAGGCCTTAAAGGCTCTCTCAATCAGCAGGCTCTGCAGTGTGGAAGCTAACCCTGGGCGTGGGGTGTGGCGGGGGGCGGGGGGTGGAGGGGAACTCTAGGCAGAGCACAGAAATAGGGCTTAAGAGCAATTCAGGCCAAGCTGCTCTCACTGGAAGGTGGAGAAGGAATGGGGAGGGATGAAGGCTGGCTGCTCTAGGAAGGAAGGGAGGCGGGGTCATAATGCAAAGTCAACCTACTTCTTATTCTTACACACAAGGTCTGATTTTGAGGGCCAGAAGTGTTCCTCATCTAAAGTGGGCTCCTCCAGTCTTCATGAACAGGGAAGGCTGGAGCCCTAAGTGGTCAATATATTTGTGTCGTATAATAGACACAAGTAATGAGGCATCATGGAGCAGAGGTAAAACCAAGAGAGAAATCCGAAGCAAAGGTGAAAAAGAACACCGAAGTTTCCATTTCACTGAACACTTACTAGCTATGTGACCCTGGCAAACCCAGCCACCTGTTTCCCCTCTGCTGGTGTGAGGATCTAGTGCGGCCTCGTCTCCTGTGTCCTTCTGAAACCACGAATTAAATTTCAACACACTGTGAATGAGCAACACATGCCAGTTCTCTATCGTTTCCAGAGCTCGGGGAAAGCCGTGAGCTCAGAAAGGGCTTCCACGGTGGGAATTCTAAGCTCAACTGCTTCCTCGCAGGGCCAGCAGCATCGGTCAGCTCCTGCTCACTCCACAGGGGCCCCGCTGACGCAGCTCTGCTTCTCCGTCTGCATGCAGTGCTCTCCTCCTGTTGACCCCGGCACCAACATGTCTGAAAGGATTGCGTTAAACTGCGGTAGGATATTTAAATGCCTCCTTTGTAGGGAAACAAACAAAAAAACATTACAACATAACTCTTCTTATGGGATCCTCTGCTTAATACAACCACATACTCTGTATCTCCCAGAAAGGTTCAGAATGATTGCTCTTTGCAAATAATTCATGCACACACTCATGGACTCACCACACCTCCTTTCTGCTAACTGCAGACCAGTCACATGTTGGCATGGAAAAATGTCTGACTCGGTGTTTCAGTTGAGGTCAAAGAAAACATGGGCCAGATGTGGGGCCTCCGATGCCTGTCTAAGGGGACAGGAGCTTATCAGGAGAGAACAACACAGGCTCCACAGTTGTCCTACACAGACGGTCCAGAAGCAACGTGAAAGCTGGTCTGCTGGGGCAAGAGACATACGGACGGGTTAGAAAAATGGAAAGTGTAGGCAATGAATGAGCTGGACTAGAGCAAGAGCAGGGAAGGTGGTTTTAGAAGATGGTATCCACAGGACGCAGCAGCTGACTGGATATGAAGACTGGGGAAGAGGAAGGTCTGAGGAAGAGGGAAGTTCCTGGGTCCGGGGCCCGGCCGGAGGGACTGTGCGCACAGCGGGCTGGCAACGGGGGGAAAATTACAAACTAGTGTTCGTGAGTATGAGAGCACGGAATGGGGACAGTGGGGAGACGAGTTCCTTTCCTCCCTGTTTCCTCGGAGTGAACATATAACCCGTCTCTATCCTGATCATTATAAACTGAAGAGTTGTGCCCATTCCATTTTGCAAAATCTTTTTTTTTTTTTTTTGGTAAAATCTTTCTAACAAGAACTCAAGACATCTTTTGCCTTTGACCATTTCTTCCTCAAGAAACACTCCTTATCCTCTCTAATCTCTACTCAAGGCTCCAAAAACAGGAGTGTTAATTCTGCTAACTGCCTCCACACCAGGAATTTCCTATTGTTTCTGGTGGGCAAAGATTGTTTAAAATATGTTAATAAATAAATAAATATGTATTGAACATTTACTATGTGCCATCAGTGAATTCTATAGCATTATATTTTTAAAATATTTTATTTATTTATTTTTAGAGACTGGAAGGGAGAAAGAGAGAAAGAAAAACATCAATGTGTGGTTGCCTCTCATGTGGCCCCCACTGGGGACCTGGCCCGCAACCCAGGCATGTGCCCTGGCTGGGAATCGAACCTGAGATGCTTTGGTTCACAGCCCACACTCAATCCACTGAGCTATGCCAGCCAGTGGATAGCTATACTGTTATTTTTCATATTTGCAAAGTGCAAGTATACTACATTTGCTTTCTATAGGCTATTTTTTATGAGCATAAAATATAAAGTTTTTACAGGGTTATATTTGTCCATTACAGTATTAATTTACTCAGTTATAAATTGCCCTGTGCCAGGTTTTGAGAACATATCTTCACAGTTGGTGAGAAAAGCTATTTCTTCACATTACCATTCATGCTAATTAATGGATCAAAGCAATGCTCACAAGACAGTTGCTCCTGAAAACAGTCAATGCCAAGTTCCACAAAATCAACCATTCCAAAATCAACTTACTTTCATTGTTTTTAATAGCCACATTTTAAGAGCTGTATTAAGCTTCAGAGCATAGAGATGATTTCCTGTCAAAGGCTGTCCACAATCTTCTGGAGCAGAATCCCTGGGCAGCAGCTAAGAACATGAAAGGGAATAAAGGAAAAGATAAAAAATATGCCCTTTGTCTCAGAATAAAATACCTTAAATCAGTGGCAAACCAAGGTATCTTGATTTTCAGGGAACCCTCCCTAGAATGCTTTCCAAATTTAGTCCATGAGAAATGTTTCCCTAGATACTCTCAATCTGCAGGAAAGGGTAAATATCCAGGAATAAGACAGGCCTAATGAAAACAGAAACACCAAAGATCTAACCAATCTATTAGAGCCACCAGTGGCATAGTGAAACCTAGCTCTCCCAGCTACAGCAATGAACATATTCTTAAACTCTGGTTCAGTAGGCCCCAACTCCAGCCAACCCAAAAGGCTGTCTTCCTTCCTCACTAATGCTTTCGCTTCCCTAAAAGCAAAACAAAACAAAAAACAAAACAAAACACCCCAAGTCCCATTTTGTTTGGACACTGTGATCTCAAGGGCCCTCTCCCCTAGTTCCTGTGAACTTGTGACCCAGCCAAACTTACGAGACAGGTGTACACCTCAGTCCAGGGAGGGGCACGTTAATGGCTTGCTCCGACACGTGGTTTCCTGCTCATGCCTTCTTCTGACCGCCAGCCTCGCACAGGCCACCTCCGTGCTGGGTAAGCCACTATTCTTCCAGGACACAGGCTGGGCCTCCCTCTCCAGGGCTCTCTGAGCAACCATGACACCATTCCACAAACTGGCATCATTCCAGAAGTCTCTCTTGACCTCCTCTTTCTTTCCCCAGCTCAAAAGGGTCAGGAAAGATCCCCCCCACCCTGATAAAAGCCTTCTTTACCAACGTGTCTTAGGTGTCAGCCCAGTTCTTGCCACATGCCCCTACTGCTGAGCATGGACTGCCCTTCACTTGCTTCCATTCCCTCGCTGGGACCATTCACAGGCTGAGCAGCCTCCCCACAGCAGCATGGCTGGGGCTGCCTTCGAGGTCTGGTGGCTGCTTAGCATGGCCTCAGAACTGTGACCACCCTCACAATGAGTGTTCGGAAAAGCACCTCGGCCTATGGGTCAGTGGACAGATGTGACAATTTCGGAACGTGCAGCAGGAATGTAGTAAAGGAGACACAAGTGCTAATGTATCAAATGGCACCTTGAGGTGCACAGGTCACGTGGGGGGAGAGGAGTGGCAAGCAGCAAGGATTTACCTGGAGAACAAGAACTTCCCTAGTACCCTGTACTCCCAGATGCCCACCTGGAGCAGGCTCTGCATTCTCTCTCCAAGCCCCACATACATCTCTGAAATAGTCTTCTGAGTGCGGTATTCAAGGCTCCTTCATCCTTCCCTCCAGCAACTCTACAGGCCCCTCTTCCCTCAGCCAAATTCCTAGCCAGTTTCTCGAGAAACTGCCATAACCTAAAGCCAGGTTCATTCACCACTGTGGAGCTTCTGATGTCTGAAAAGGACTGAACTATGTCTGAAGAATTTTCCACATTCAATGCATTCGTAAGGCTTCTCGCCAGTGTGAATCCTGTAATGTTCGCTGAGGTGTGCGTACTTGCGGAAGGTTTTCTCGCACTCGCTACACTTATAGAGCTTCTCACCAGTGTGAGTCCTGTGGTGTTCAGTAAGAGATGAGCTATGAGCAAAGGCCTTCCCACATTCTTGACATTCATAGGGCTTCTCTCCAGTATGAATTCTCATATGCTGAGTGAGGCAGGTATTCTGATTGAAGCCCTTCCCGCACTCATTGCATTTGTAGGGTTTTTCTCCAGTGTGACTTCTCTGATGCCGAGTAAGGCAAATGCTCTGAATGAAGGCTTTGCCACACTCCCTGCATTTGTAGGGTCTCTCCCCTGTGTGAATTCTCTGATGTTTAGTGAGTGGGGTGCTCTGAGTAAAAGCTTTGCCACATTCCTTACATTTATAAGGTTTCTCTCCAGTATGAATTCGCAGGTGTTTGATAAGGGATGGACTCTGGCAAAAAGCTTTGCCACACTCCTTACATGTATAGGGCTTTTCTCCAGTATGAATTCTCTGATGTTGAGACAGGTTTGCCTTTGTTTGAAAGGTTTTCCCACATTCATCACACTTGTGGGGTTTCTCCCCCGTGTGAATCCTCTGATGCTGTGTGAGATTTGAGTGTTTGCGAAAAGAGGAGCCACACTCATTGCACAAGTAAGGTTTCTCCCCAGTGTGGATTCTCTGATGATGAATGAGGTGTGTGTTCTGATTGAATGACTTCCCACACCTATTACACTTATAAGGTTTCTCCCCAGTGTGGATTCGCTGGTGTTCGGTGAGATGTGAATGATTGCGGAAGGAATTCCCACATTCGCTACATTTATAAGGTTTCTCTCCGGTGTGGATTCTCTGATGCTGGGTAAGAAATGAGCGGCATCGAAACGTTTTCCCGCACTGCTCACAGCTGTACGGTTTCACCCCAGTGTGGATTCTCTGGTGCTGAACGAGGAACGAACTGCGACTAAAGGCTTTCCCACACTCCTCACACGCGTAGGGTCTCTCTCCAGTATGGGTTCTCTGATGCTGGGTCAGGGATGAGCGCTGAGTGAAATGTTTGCCACAGTCATCACACTGCCAAGACCTTTTCTGTGTGGACAGGGTTGAGCATTTACTTTGGTCTGAAATCTCATTGGGGTGTACGCTACTTGTCTCCCACTGATGTAAACTCTCTTCTGTAGAAACCCTGAGATGTGTAACAAGGCTTGAGGTCAAAAGCAACCTTTTCTCAAAATTATATTCTTGGCTAATCATTTCAGGAGGTGCTTCCTTGTGGATGAAAGTTCTTCCCCTAAAACCTCCTTCCTGAAAAAGGCGTGGCTCAGGAACACCCCTGGGAGAGTTTTCCTTCATGCTCTCATGTGTGTATTTGTCATCGAATGCAGAATGCTGGGATTCATCCCCTTGGAGTCTCTTTCCCACCGTCTCTGGTGAATCAATTTCAGAGACATCCTGTTCTGGAGCAGGTTTGTTCACCCAACCTGAAAGAAACCACCAGAACGAATCTCTCTTATGGGGGGCAAAGTGGAGGCCCCTGAAATTCTGGGATCTAAGGTACAGGTCTCAGTAGGGACCAATAAAGGTAAGTGAGACAAGTAATTCAAAGCTGCAAGTGGTGGAAGAGATCTGCGTAAGAACAACGTGGTCACTGTTAGTGAGGGGCCCCATGGAAAGGGCAGCTACAGACACCCAAAGAGTGAGAGAACCAGAGAACATGGAGCTAAAGGGAAAGCAACAACCACAGGCTAATGATCAGGGCAAGACAGAAAACATGGGCTGTTGATATTCAAAGAGTGGAGGACAGCAGGAGAATGTAAAAGGGCAAATGTTGAAACTGAGAAAGAAAAAATGAGTACAGGGGAAAGCTGGCCCCGAGAGCAGCTCACCGCATCTGCCCCCAGCAGCCCTAAGAGTGGGGGTGGTTTTGTCTCCTGAGCTTCATTCAGTTTCTCCCGGACAATTTCCAAAGCCCTGCTGTGTGTCCCACTGGGTGTTCCTTGCTCACTCACCTGGACAGACCTCTCTTCCAATCTCTCTCTCTTCAGCTCCTTGCATATTCAACACCCATGAATCTTCTCCTTGCTTTAACTGTCGAACACTTCAAGGCTGGAGAGCTGGGAGCCCTGCTCACAGGGGAAAAAAAGGTGGGGGATGGGATGTCACTGTCCCAGTAAACAGGAAAATGAAAAAGAGCTGTTGCCTAGGGAGACTAATAATTCACACAAAGCCTGTCAGGGTAGCCACGTGACTGCATCAGCAAGAATAGGAGTCAGCTTCCGGCCCTCTAGGTTCGCAAACTCCATGTGTCAGCTCTCCAAGAAGTGACAACTAGACAGACATATTAACAAATGGTCAAGTGCTTGATGAGTGAGCAAGAATGTTATTCCTAACAATAAAAATAACTAAGAAGTGGATAGGAATATGCATGTCAACTACTACACTCTGTCCATTATACAATAATCTACATGAAAAGTCAATAAAATAAAAAGTTGCATGGGTGAACGGCCTGAGAGCAAGGCTAATGCATTAAGTCTGATCCACCCACCTCCACCACAGGCCAGGGACATAGACAGGAGTTAGGGAACTCTACTCAACACAACCTAGAGACACACCAACTGTCCTTTCTTCTAAATGTCACATCAGGTTTTCTTCAGGCACAGCTCAATGTGAGTGTAGGCTACACTTTAAATAAAATACTTTGTAAAATAGTACTAGAGTTTCTGGTGTTCGGACTGTCAAAATTATAAAAGTTTATCCAAAAATGTCTCTTCACATAACGCTGACATAGGAAGTAGGACAGGCAGCATTATTTCAAGGAGGCCGGAGACGGTTTCAGCACAACGGAGAGCTCAGAAGGCATGAAACAGGCTGTGCCTGCAGAACCACATGATGAAGCTGGTCCTGTGCACTTCTCATGAAGGCCTATACTTCTTTTCTAAAATTATTTTTAGAGAGAGGCGGAGAGAAGTAAAAAGAGAGAGAAGCACCAATGTGTGGTTGCCTCTCACACCCCCCCCGACTGGGGACTTGGCCTACAACGCAGGTGTGTGCCCTGACTGGGAATCGAACTGGTTACCCTTTGGTTCACAGCTCAGCATTCAATCCACTGAGCCACACCAGCCACAGCCAAACGTTTTCACTATTTTTTTAAAAAAAGATTGTATTTATTTATTATTAGAAAGAAGGGAAGAGAGGGAGAAAGAATGGGAGAGAAACACTGATGTGTGAAAGATCACATCGACTGGCTGCTTCTCACACACCCCTGACTGGGGACCTGGCCCAAAACCCAGGCATGTGTCCTGATTGGGAATTGAACCAGCGACCTTTCAGTTTGCAGGCTGGCGCTCAGACCACTGAGCCCCTCCAGCCAGGACCTGAAGGCCTGTACTTCCGTGCTGAGCTTTAAAAGTATAAGAGGATTCTATCTGGGATTTCCTGTTCCTCTTCCACAGCAGGGAGATAAAGTGGAGTGGGGTTTGTGTATAATCAGAGCCAGACAGTGGAGAAAAAGTCAGACACGCCCCTGCCTGCCCACAGCTCACACCGTAGCTGGACAAAGACATTAAACCAGTAGTTACAAATATGGGAATTACAAAAGTGGAAGTATGGGGCGTTATGGAATACAGAACAGAGGGCACCTAATCTGTTTGGGAAAGAAAGCCTCCCTGAAAAAGCGATTAGTAGAAATTAGACACACAAGGAAGGAAAAGAATATACCAGAGAGATGAAACAGAACTTATAAAAGGAATCAAGCTCAGTTCTTTGGGAGAATGAAAAAGATCCAGTAAGGCAACGTATTAAGCACCAGAAGTAGGACACAAAGCCCGAGTCAGGCAAAGGCCAGATCAAATGCAACCCTGCAAACCATTTTAAGGCATTTACCCCCAAATGGGCAAAAAGTCACAAAAAGGATTTGAAAAGGTTTGAAAAAGATGTAACATTAGATTTCCTGTTGAAAGAAATACATTAGAACTTTCCCTGTCCATAAGAAAAATTATATATAAGGGTGAAAGGCAGGGGAGGCAAGGTGAAGAGTGGAAGAGTCCCGGTAAGGGACTGGGCTGCCTAAGAGACAGAGTCCACAGGGGAGGATGAATATTGGGGCGGGGGTTGGAGGGAGTGAGGAGGGGGAGATATTCAGGATAATTTGCTGGGTTTTGGTATGGGATGACAGTGCGACTGGGAATACCGGTTTGGGGAAGGAGAAATGTTTAGTTTTGAAGTATCCAAACAGGAAGTAGGCATACATATCTGGAACACAGGGGAAAAGTATGCATTGAAAACTTGCATCTCAAGTTTTTGGCATAAAGAGAACAACTGAAATTCTGGAATAACAGATCAAAATCATCAAAAAAGGGTGTCTGGGAAAACCTTAACAGTAAGTTTACACATTTAAAAGGAAGTTTAACTCTGGCTTATGCTTTTACAGAGTCCTAATTCAGTAAGAGAAATAAATAAAAGAATTTAACATACGATAAAATTGGCATCTATAATAATAAAAAATTGATTATTCATAAATTACATTGAGACAGTTGCTTAACTACCTGGAACAAACACCTGGTGGGATTCCTGCCTCACACCATATTATCAAAAAAATCTAAACTGATTAAAGGGTTAAATATTAAAAATGAAACCAAAAAATAAAATACTGACAAATGACTGATTTTTAGGGTTAAAGTAGCCTTTTCTAAGCATTATGCATAACAGCACAAACCGCAAAGACAAACTGGATGAATCTGGCCACAGAAAAGCAACAATCTCTATATTCAACATACAAACAAAACAAAAAGGCAAACAATCTAGGAGAAGTACTTCGATTTATCTATCAAAGAGTAGATATACCTAATAGATAAAAGACTTAGTAATGAGTATGAAAAAGATGAACTGATAGAGAAATAGTATGTACCACAAATACACCAACATTACAAAAGGCCAAAAAGCACATCAAAACAAAGTTCCATTTCAGTGGTAGTCAAAGAAATGGAAACTGAAGGAATAAAGACTCGATTTTTATATCGCACTGGATTTCTTTTAATGCTAAAGTTCAAGGCCAGCGAAGGTGCAGAGAAAGGAAGCTTCTCTCACATCACCCGTGAAAACGCAGACGGGCGCCGCTTTTCCAGGGGAAATCTGGCAGCGTGCGTCAGACCCTGAGGCTGCAGGCTCACGTGCAGCTGGGACACAGTGGTCGTCCCTTTGTGGGACAGGAACGGAGACGGGAACAGTCGTCACGTGTGGGCAGCACCTGCAGTGTATTGCAGATGATCGTCAAAGCCATCGGTAGGTGTTATACAATGCCTGTGTTGTTTGACCCAGGAATTCCACTGTTAGAACTTTTTCACAGAGAAGTAACTTCCCGGAAAGTTAAAATACTGAATCCTTTCGTTAACTGTTAAAAAAAAATCCCCTGAAAGGTAGGAAAGCACAATTTTCTACTGGTGCACACTGAGGCTTAGCAATTAAGGTACTTCCATTTGGTAGAAATTATATGGACATCAAGAGTAAAAATAAAAATAGAAATATGGGAGCAACGGGAAAACACTGAATACTTTATGTAAATAGGAAATATTCAGGATATTAAAATTTCACGTAAACGTTTCTCAGCGGCAGGACTGACTGTGGGAAGTAGGTGGTATCCAGACCCAGACTCGGGATTTCGTTTTCCAACACTCATCGGATCACTCGTTTCTCACTCAACCACCCGTTCATTCAGTCCATCTTCTCCGGCATCACCTCCGGGCCAGGCCTGCGAGGGCAGAGCCGAGGCCGCCGGGAGTTTCGGGCCGCGCGCGCCGGCAGCACGCCTGGGAGGACAAGCCGGAGCACGATTCCTGTGTAAGGCTCCGGCCGGCCGCCCCGAGCTGCTGCGGAGCCTCCCCCTTCCCCTCCCTGGGGCCCCGCCCGCTCACCGTGATCCAGAGGCCGCTCGGGCTGCGATCACCAGCCCAGAAGCGTCGGAACCCCGCGCGCAGGCCTCCGCGCCCCGACCGGAAGAGCGGCGGCGCAGCCGGTAGTGCGTCACCAGCGGCCCCGCGCCTCTGCTCTCGCGCATCCGCTCCTGTTAGAAGCGGGAGGTGCATCTCGGTGGGGACCTCCGGACCCTGTCTTGTTCCCGATATGCTGTTAAGTACTACCCAGTTCCGGGACCGTGACGGCCTCATCCCTCAGCTTAAAAAATATCCTATCTTTGACATCCCGCTCCATACGTCTAAGACCGTCACAGCAGTGGTTTTCTTCACTGCAGGAGCGGCAGCCTTGGCCGCTGGGCTTGATCGATCGTTTATTTTGGTGGCCTCTTCGGGGAGCCAGCTGTCTACCCCACTGCCTTTGTCATCTCAGGCTACCGTAACAAAATATCATCAACTGAATGGCTTAAACAACGTGACTTTATTTTCTTACCAATGACAAGGCCAGACACAGACTCTCTGAATTCTTTGCTTCATAAATAATTAGCTGAACTTTTACATCCATCGACCGAGCTGGATAAAATACTTGCTAACTTGAGTTGACCAACCTTTAGCTAAGCTTCTATGCCCCACACCCCTAAATTCTGACCCATCCTCAGCCTGACCAGCAATGGAATGTGGAAAGACTCGTTATAGTGGTCCCTTCTGAGAATCGGCAGCCCTCCTCGTAGCCCCAGGTTCTCCCAGCCATGGGAATTAAGGTGATATGGTACCCGCTTCCTGTATTAGCTGCCAGTTCCTGGGGCCCCCTCAGAACACCTGCTTGCTTGGGGAAAGGGCTACAGGACAAAAGCCAGAGGCAGCGGCCCCGGAATTGAACCCTGAATTTCCATCTCAGCTGGGTGGCAGCAGCTCTTCACCTGCTCTTCGAGTCTCGTGCAGCACGGAGCTGGGGCTTGAGGTGGATGACCTGAGTACAGCCCGTCACGCTTGCCCACTGGCTTTGTAGAGGCAGTGGGGTCTCTGCATACCCTCAGTGCTGGGGAGGGTCTGCAGCCTCAGGAATTTGGAAGCAAAGGAGAGCCCTACAGGTCCTTTCACGTCCATATAAGATGTTTTCTAGTTGGCTCTCGACACAGTGGCAATGTACATCTTCACAGTGTTGTCCTCATGCTCAGGGGATACCAGCATTTGGGGGTCTCCCCAAGCCTGACCAAACTGTCGAGTAGGTGAGGGTTGGTCTTCAGCGAAGGCCTCAGTGATGAGGGCAAAGAGCATGACAGGTTATGAGTGTTTATGCCAAAGCAGGAGAAAGATTTAAAGTACAAATAAGACATCACAGGATGAATGGAAAGAATGACAAGAACTGAGGGAGAAAAAGGAGGGAAATAAAAAGTAGGAAAGCCAAAGGGAAGACAGGTGAGGGGTGGGGAAGACTGTGTAAGAAGAAATAGGAAGAGAAAAAAGAGGAAAAGGAAAAAGACCAGAAAAAGGTATGACCTTTGTCCCATTGCTGCCACTTGCAGGCCCAGCCTACAAAGCTCATTTTCAGCATGGAAGTCTTTTCCCAGGTCTGTGCACCTGGAGTTCCCCATAGTCCAGTCTGGTCTCATGAGCCGCAGGTAGCTATAAGCATCTCTGAAGGTGCCCAGCTCGGTGTGCTGCAGCTTGGCTCAGAAACGAGAGCATGGACAAGGAGAGGTGCAAGTAGTGCTGGACTCTGGCCTGTTCCCTGTCCCAAATCAGGTCTAACCCACCAGCCTCTTTGTTGGCTTCTGTGTGATTGCCTTGCCCGCTGCCCCCTCCCCTACCATCCCCCTCCCTCTTAGCTGCCTGCAACCTTCTTCTGTAGCCACATTAGGTGTACCTACTCTGTAGACATGTAAGTAGTGTGAAGTCTACAGTATCTGTATCACTTGCAGACATTTGGTCTCTGCCATTGGAAACAGATGGCATTTCTCTATTTTCTCTCTCTTTTGTTAGATTATGAGGACAAATCTGTGATTGAGGAGTTGGTTCCAAAACAAGAAGTATTAGGAAAAACAGAGCCGCAGAATCACCTTTAGAAAACTTCAGAATGACCCCCAAGCATGCAGGATTGGAGGATTTGAAAATTGGGAAGACACTCTTAAAATTCATCAGAGAAGTCCATCTCCAGGGCCCTGGCTCGGCCTCTTGCTGGGCAGCTCCAGAAAACCAGGAGGTGTCTTCCCCTTGGCGGTCCTCCTGCTAAGAACCTCCCGCTGAACCCGGGGTAAGAGTGCGGGAGGCAGGTGAGACCCAACTCAGTCCTTACTCCACACTGAGTTTCAAATGGACCTGTCTCAAAGCAACTAGGTCAGTCAAAGGGCTCTCCCATGGGAGCATGTACAGTCTTCAGGAGGGGAAGTCTTTGATTTCCCGTTAGACTGCAAATATCCAAACAGCAAAAAAATTAAAGAAAAAGGGCTAACTGTAAACTGGGGAAAGCATCTACAACACATGTGGCAGGTAAAAGAGTAATTTCTTTATTAAGGTTTGTACAAATCAATTCTTAAACGGATTAACAACCCAACAGAAAGACGGCTAAAGAACACAAAAGAGCAATTCACAGAAAACAAGGAAACAGACATGGCTTTTAAGCACGAGGCACGATAACTGGTTTCACTCATAACTGAACGCAAAACATGAGAGCAGTTTTCATTTCTCAGATCAGAAAACAATAGTTTTATAGAGGATTCAGGGAAATGGGCATTTTCATACACATACTCATATGCAGTTTCTATCAAAATACCAAACGCAGTTACCTGTATCAGTTTATCCTGCAAAGTGTGTTACACACACTAGGAGAGTGTGCCAGGGTACTCAGCATGGTAACTGTTTGTAACAGCAAGGGGCAGAAAACCACGTACACGCACCATCGCACCATCCACACAACGGGAGACCACACAGCAGTGAAAACAAAGAATGAGGTAGATCTTACAGGCCAGTACAGAACCATCTTCAAGACAGGTGAAAAGCCAGGTATGGTGACAGTGTGTATCCTAAGCTTTCGTGTGGGGTGGGGGGGGTGTGTGTGTGTGTGTGCACAGAATATTATAAATGTGTCAACTATCTCTAGCAGGATCATCAAGATTTTTTTTTTTACCACAGTTCTCTCTGGGTACCCTGGGCTGGGAGACTTACTCTTCACTGTCTGCTTCTGTACAGCTTTAGATGAGGGGAGGGTCCCGGGGGGGCACTGAGGAGGCCGCCTGGGAGAAGGGCACAGGCCCGGCCTCAGTTCCTCCAGCCCTGACTGAGGCTCCTGGCCCTGCAAATGGGACAAGAGATCCTCGCTCCCGACGGGAGAGTTCACTGAGATGAGAGACCTCCAGCAGTTAGCACGGAGCCCGGCACGCGGGAACCCTCAACTGACAGGGGTGGGTACAACCTTCCTGCTGGCCGGGGTTGCCTCCCCCACTCTCCTCCCAACACCACAGATGTGCTGGCCACTGAGAGTGCACAGGGTGACCTCGAAGAGGCACAAGGACACCCGGGTCCAGGGCCCTTCTGGCCTGGGCCAGGCCCCGTTCGTCACAGGTAACATCTCACCGGGGTGTGGAGGCCCAGATTTCTGGTGTGGGAATTTGTGGATTGTCCCCATGGCCCACTCATTCCATCCATCCCCCCTGACCCCCTACCACTCACTGGGTCAGAATCCCACGGTCCCTCTCGGACTCTGACAAAAGCCGCCTGTGCGGTCTCCAGGATTCCTTTCTCTCGCAGCCCAGCCCCCACACTCCACGAGGACAGCTCACCGCTGTGCACGGGCGATGAGCTTCCCCTTTTATTAACCTGCTTCCCGATCATAAAAGATTCAGGCTCACTGTAAAAAATGCAGGCAATGCAGGAAAGCTTAACCAGAACACCAGGTGCATCATTTCCTTCCAGTCTTTCCTATGCTACAAAAAAGGAACAAGAAAATCCTCTAAGAAATTAAACTGATTACTGGCAAAATGAAAAACTCACTAGAAAGGTAGAGAAATAATCAAGGTGGTCTCATAGGAAATGGCACAAGGAAATGGAAATAACAGAGAAAGTAGCTGAGGATCAATCCAGAAGGTCCAACATTTGATTGACAGGAATTCCAGAAAGAATAAAAAACAGAAAAAAAAATTGGAAAAGAGAAACTGTCACATAAATAACACAAGAAAATTTCCAAGAGTAAGAGTACCTGAGTACTGAGTAAAGTCCACTGAGAACATCAGGAAACTGGGTACACCAAGGATAAAGTGGATACTTTATTACTGTTACTTATCCTCGCCTGAGGACATTTTTTTCATATCTTGTAGAGAGAGAGAAACATCGATGTGAGAGAGAAACACTGATTAGTTGCCTCCCGTACATGCCCCGACCAGGGGTTGAACCTGCGACCTAGGTACGTGCCAGACTGGGAATCAAACCTGCAACCGTTTGGTTCATAGGACAGTCCAACCAGCTCAGCCACACCAGCAAAGGGCAAAGTAGAGACTCTAAAAGCTTCTCAGCATTGGGGTGGGGAACAGATCACAATAACACAAATACTATTTATTGTCAAAGAAACAGGAATCATATTGGAACCACACATCCACAAACTGCTGAGGAAATTTTTCAATCAAGAATTCCAGAGCCAACCAAAGTGCCAAACAAGTGTGACGGCAGTTTTGGATACATAAGCATTCAACAACTTTGCCTTCTATATGCTGTGTCTTGGGGCTGCGCTGCACTAAAGTGAGGGAATTAATGAAGAAAGGGGAAGACAGGAACTCAGGACACAACAGAGCCTGCGCAGCAACAGAGCTGCAGGCAGAAAGCCACCAGGACAGACGAGAACAGGAAGGACAGGGCTCGGGACGCGAAACAGGAGGAAACGGGACTCAAGAGAGTAGCTGGATGGAGAATTTGAAAACACCACCAACAACAAACTGAGGACATGCTACAAGCAACCAGTGCAAGAGGAAAAGGCAACTGGAACATCAGTAAAAACAAAAGGCCGGTCCAAAAAGGAAGTGTAATCGGAGTGAGCTACTCAGGCCTGCAGTGGACAGCATGTACACGGTCACAGTGACATTCCCGCCATCTGTTTTCAGCTTTTAGAACAAATCAATAAACAAAGCATAAAAGAGACTGCCCGCGGTTACAGACCAGAACTGAAGCGCTATCAGACCTGACACTGCCATGGCGGCGGAGGTGGAGAAGGGAAGGAGAGAAAGGGTGGGTGCACCCCCCCATCTTACACAGTGGGGACTGAGATACTGTTTATAGTTGGTACTATAAAAACTAAGTATGTACATATAATAATTTATTTTTCCTGATTATAAAATTCTTGCTCCTTATAGGAAACATGGAAATCACTTTTAAACAACCCCCTGAACACCCACAATTCTACCTCCCACAGGGCCTGGGTTCCGCCGCTCACCACCAGTATGGCCGTGAAAACGCCACTGAACCACCTGACCATTTGCTTATATTTCTTTCAGGTAATTCATCTGTACACTTTTTACTAGTGCATGTAACATTGTGAGGACTGGACTACATACACAGTTTTCAGCCCAGATGGTTTCCACTTTAGAGCATCAAGTAAAACTCTGGGTGCGTATCACATCATGCTCTCCTGGGTTCCTAAGCACACTTCTCGGTACGTATGCCCTTGGCCGTAGGCCCGTCCGAGGCTTCCCAGAGAGGGGGCTCCAAGCGAACCTGAAAAGAAACCTATGCGGGCCAAGCAGGCGGGGGCTGGCTGGAGAGCGGTGGCGAGGGTCAGAAGCGTGCAGGGCGGCGGGAGCAGAGGCGCACACGGAGGAGCAAGCACGAGCCTCCAGGCCACAGTAAAAGGCGCGCAGGGAGCAGAGAGAGGAGGCTGGGAAGACGCTACGAAGAGCTCGGTCGACCGACCGTGCTAACGGAGCCGGACAGTCTCCCACGGAAGACACCGTGCACGGAGAGACTGCTGGGAAGACACTACGAAGAGCTCAGTCGACCGACCGTGCTAATGGAACCGGACGGTCTCCCACGGAAGACACGAGGAGCGGGTTCAGCGGACCTCGTCAGCGCAGGCACTCTGGGTCTAGGGCCGCGTCGCGTCTGCTGCAAGGACAGTGCACGACAAACCTTTCCACGAGGACCTACGTATGATCCGCAGGCAGCCAGAACGCCTCCTGGGTTTCCAGCCCGGGCACTGAACAATGCCACGATTTGCTGAGGGAGGGGATTCAGAAGCAAGCTTCGCAGTCTCACCTCGGTTTTGAAAACGTCACTGGTGATGAATGCAGCACATCCCCAGGCGAGCCTCTGGGCCTTGAGGATGCAGGATTTGGGCTCCAGGAGCCAGTACGTCCCTAAAACGAGCACGGCACTGAAGGTGCCACTGCATTTCTCCAGGAGAGGATCCACAACCTCCATCAGAGTCTCAGAGCGGCTGTGACCCAGAAAGGTCAGGCTCACTGGATGGAGCAGTGAGTGGAGAAGCGACAGAAGGGGGAGGACGACTGTCCGCACGGGGAAGAGACCGGATGCAGAGCGCGGAAGCTCGGCGGTGCCCAGTCACGCCTGTTCCCCAGCCTAGAGGGACTCACGGCCAACTGTGCCGGAGCACGTGCGCATGGAGGAAGTCTCTCCCTCCGCGTGCTCCCAAAGCACACGTCCGACGTGTTACCACCTTCCCACCACAGGCTCCACGTTAATGCACATCTGTCGGTCTCCCTCTAGAGCGGGGACAAGCTTCCTTGCTCAACCCTTGATGCCTGTCGCTAGGGCTGGCTCTTTGTCTGACAGCTCTTGGTGGCTTCGGATAACGAGGCCTCAGAGCTCCCACCCACTTCTGGCGAGACCTGCCGAAGGGAGTCCCTGCCGAAGGGAGACGAGTCCCACCTGAGCAGACTCTGACAACGAGGGACAGCCCCTCCTCCCCAATTAGAAAGTGTACAGACCACACTTCTTGTAGTCAGTCGTAGGTCGGCCTCTTGTGCTCTCCCATGCAAATGAGCTCCTTGGCCGAGCGCACCCATTCCTGCCGCCCGTGATCATGCACTAAGGTTCACAAGGGGTCACCGGCGAGGTCCCCACCAGCCCACAAGAAGAGTGTGGCAGCCACCCCTCCAGTGGCTCGCTTGTGGCCACCCATGACTGCCACCAGCGCCGCCTGGGCCCCCACTTCCAGACACGGCTCGGGCAGAGGTGCCAAGTACCCTGGGGAAGCCTCCCCCCACTACCCTGGTCCCTCCAAGGCTGACCCGGGTCACTAGTGGGACAGCTGCTTTCTCAGGAAGTCCACCCTCCCATCCATGGCCACAGCGCTGAATTCCCACAACACCTGCAGTCTCCCCAGGCCTCCGGCAGCACCGTCACCTGTGACCTGGCTCAGGAAGCCACAAGGAAGCTGCCTGGTGGCCAGCCAGGCAAAGTCAACACTGGGCCCCTATCCTGGGTGGCCGCCACCAGACTTCCAGAGGCACTAGGCTCTTTGGAGCCCCTCCCCAACCCCTCCTTTCCTACCCTCTTCCCCTCCCCACCCATCCCATAGACTAGGCAGGCTGCACAAGCAAGGAAACCAGGACTCAAATCAACAGTCTGGAACAAAAGGAAGGAATAAACATTCAACCAGAACAGAATGAAGAAACAAGAACTCAAAAAAATAAGGAGAGTCTGGAACAACCTCAGACATACCAACATCCAAATCACAGGGGTGCCAGAAGGAGAAGAGGAAGAGCAAAACATTGAAAACTTATTTGAAAAAATAATGAAAGAAAACTTCCCCAATTTGGTGAAGGAAATAGATACGTAAGTCCAGGAAGCTCAGAGAGTTCCAAACAAGTTGGGCCCCAAGAGGGACACACCAAGACTCATCATAATTAAAATGCCAAACTTTAAGGATAAAGAGAGAATCTTAGAAGCAGGAAGAGAAAAGGAGACAGTTACCTATAAAGGAGTCCCCATAAGACTATCAACTGATTTCTCAAAAGAAACTTTGCAGGCAAGAAGGGGCTGGCAAGAAGCATTCAAAGTCATGAAAAGCAAAAACCTATATCCAAGATTACTGTATCCAGCAAGGCTGTTATTTAGAATAGAAAGGCAGATAAAGTGCTTCCCAGGTAAGGTCAAGTTAAAGGAGTTCATCATCATCATCACCAAGCCCTTATACGAAATGTTAAAGGGACTTAGCTAAGAAAAATATCAAAACTATGAACAGTGAAATGACAACAAACACAACTGTCAACAACTGAACCTAAAAAAAACTCCAAAAGAACAAAAACAAACTAAGTGAACTAGAACAGGAACAGAATCATCGAAATTGAGATGACACAGAGGGTTATCAGTTGGGAGGGGGCGGGGGAAGAAAGGGGGAAAAGGGTACAGAGAATAAGCAGCATAATTGGCAGACACAAAACAGACAGGGGGAGGTTAACAGTAGTACAGGAAATGGAGAAGCCAAAGAACTTGTATGTACAAGCCATGGACATGAACTAAGGGGAGGATTGCTGGAAGGAATGGGGGTACTAAGCAGAGGGGGACAAAAGAGAAAAGAAAGGGACAACTGTAATAGCATAATCCACAAAATACACTTAGGAAGAGGAAAAAATGTAAGAGCCCTAGGTGACATGCAGTCAAGGCTGAAAACCGCTGCTTTACCGCAGGGCCGGGTCACGGATCCCCAAACCAGCGTAATGGCACAGTCCCCCCGTGGCTCTTCTGAACCACCTGTGAATGGAACTCTTCTGCCAGTAAACTACAATCGTGCATGACTAGCATGAGGATGAATACACAATGTACAGCTGAACACAGTTGACCTAACGCTCACACGTCCAGGTGACAGCTTCCAGGAAAGTATAGCATCAGGCTCTTGGTAGGTCAGTCCCTGATGCGTCCTGAACTTCACACCTGCTCTCCCTTTTTTGAGCTCCCTGATCATGCTGGGGTGGGGGGACTCTTAACTTGTTCCTATCTCAGCAGACACGTGGTGTTCTCTCTCCACTCCCAGAGGGGGAGACGCAAACAGTCACTGCCAGGGTTAGTGACAACTTGGGCATTTTTGATTCTTACTATTCAATTCTGATTTCTCATGTTTGTGTCCGTTTGATTCAGGGTGATGTGGGGAAAAGAATTTGCACGTGCTTTGATGAAAGACTGTGGCTGAAGGTGAAAAGGAGGAAATCAGCAAGCTTTCTTGTGCATGCCTTCTGCATGTGAAAGTGCTCTGTAAGTTACCAAACACCATGGCGACTAACACTCGGTCTTGCGGAAACGAGACAGTCAGAGCACGGGCCTTCTGCACGTGGAGTTGCCCCAAACTGCTGACCACCAGGTGCGGCATTCACGATAAATGCTCTTGCATGCTAAAAGGTGGTGGTGGACAGACCCAGAGGTCAAGAGACTTACATTCCAGTCTTAGATTTGCTGTCTGCCGGTCACACTGCTTAAGGCACACCCCAAAATCTGTCACCTCAGCTTCCTGACCTAAAAATGAGACCACACACCCTTTCTTGTCTTTCCGCAGGTCTGGGTGGGGATTACAGGTGGGCATTGCAGGTGGCTGGATGAGCATCGGGGCAGAACAAACAGAATCTGGGCGTGGGTGTGGATTTGAATACAGGCTGTCACTTGTCGCGTGGCCTTGCTTTAAATGACCGCTCCCAGGCGAATGGGGTGAACGCCTCGCTCAGTGCTGCAAGGACTAAGGGAATGACCTCCATGAAGCATGAGATAAGTGCTGGGTGTCTGATGCTATTCGTGAAGGTGCACCAGCGAAGTCAAGTTCCATATAAATACAAGGCAATGTTACGTAGCTCTACCTACTGCATAGTTTCATAAATAATTCCCCAAGAGTAAAGGCTCAGTGGCAACAGGTATCTTACCTTAGACAGTTTCTTCATCCTTCTAAAAATTTTCATATTCCAATACCTCTGAACTTCTCAAAAACAAACAAAGACCTTACAAACCCCACCCCGACCCCTCCCTCTCCTTTCACTTCCTTCCTCGATCCCCTCGGAGTTAGGAGGACCCCATTCTCCCTCTTGAAGCCGTCCAGAAAGTGGGGTGTCGTCTAGACTGCGGAGAAAACACGACCGCCTCCAGGCCAGCTTCTCCGGAGACTCCTCTCCCTGGGAAAGGGCCGAGGGGAGTGTCTCACCAGACGGAACACAGGAGGAGCGGGGGTCGTGGGGAGACGTGCGAAGTGGCCCCAGCGTGCTGCCTCCATCCAGCCTCAGGTGCTCGGCCACGCAGACTGGGGGACAGTCCGGAGAGACTCACCAGGGGTCCCCACAGCTCCACCACCTCAGGGTTCATGAGGTACAGATGACGAGGGCAACAGCGGTTTTCTCACTTCTGTCCATTTTAGGAGCAGCAGACAGTAAACAGGCTTGTGAAAATGCTTTGATTACCAAGGGAACGGAAAGCTTATAAATATTCATAGGTGAGCTGTTGCTGGGTTGCTACCCCAGTGAAATTACCAGTTTAAAAAAAACAAAAGTTAGCTTAAAATTACCTTTCCCCAAATGGGACCTTTATCACCTAGCTTCACAGGACCCATTTCTGAGAAAGCCACATTCTCTTGCAGGCGACACGACCGCCAAAGGGACAGTTAACAACAAAGGCCTTGCCTGTGGGAGCTTTGTTTCCATTTTCCGAACACCTGCCTCTGAAATGCTTGTGTTCTGTGCTGCACTCCTGACAGACGTCATGTTCAAGGACAGAGCAGGCCTCACTGGCACACGGGAGGAAGGAAACCGCAGAGGTGGCCGCGCCCCTGACCCGTCACTCGGCCAGGTGGGTCCTGTGGTGCCGCATGAGGTGCGAGTTGGAGATGAAGGCCGCGCCGCACTTCTCACACTCGTAGGGCTTCTCCCCGGTGTGCGTCCGCTGGTGCACGGTGAGGCTCGACCTCTGCCGGAAGGCCTTGCCGCACTCGCTGCACGTGTACGGCTTCTCCCCGTTATGGATCCTCTGATGAATGAGCAGGTACGAGCTGCAGGTGAAGGCCTTCCCACACTCGTTACACACGTAGGGAAGATCTCCGCTGTGAATCCTCTGGTGCACGATAAGGCAAGAGAGCTGGCTGAAGGCTTTTCCACACTCGCTGCAGTCGTACGGCTTCTCCGCAGTGTGGATTCTCTGGTGCACGATCAGGTGCGAGAAACAACTGAAGGCCTTCCCACACTCTTTACACTCATATGGCTTCTCACCGGTATGGCTTCGCTGATGCACAATAAGATTGGCGCTCTGGGTGAAGGCTTTGCCGCAGTCGCCGCAGGCGAAGGGCTTCTCCCCGGTGTGGATCCTCTGGTGGACGATGAGGTTGGAGCTCCGAGTAAATGTCTTCCCACACTCGTTACATTCGTAGCACTTTTCCGTGATGTGGACCTTCTGGTGCCGGGCGAGCTGGGAGCTGTAACTGAAGGCTTTCTCACACTCGCTGCACTTGAAGGTCTTCTCCAAGGAGTGGATCTTCTGGTGCACCGTCAGGTTGGAGCTCTGCGTGAAGGCTTTCCCACACTTGGCGCACACGTAGGGCTTCTGCCCGGTGTGGATTCGCTGGTGCACGACGAGGTTGGCGCTCTGAATGAAGGCCTTCCCACACTCGTGACACTCGAAGGGCTTCTCCCCAGTGTGGATGCGCTGGTGCACCACCAGGTTGGCGCTCTGGCTAAAGCCCTTCCCACACACGCTGCAGGTGAAGGGTTTCTGCCCCGGCTGGCTTCTCTGGTTCCGAACGGGGCCAGAACCGAGGCGGCATCTCTCCCCGGGTTTCTGACGTTCCTGCTCTTCCTCCTCTTTGAAGCTTTCGGGAACGAGACAGTCCTTCACGGCCACGTGTCTCAAGTCCTTCTTCTCCCTCTTTATCCTCTGCCTCTTCAGTGTGGCCCCTCTCTCACACCTTCCTTCTAACTCCGGACCCTGAGAGGCAGCTTTCTGGAGTCTTCCTGGTATCAGGAAGGGCTTTTCTGCTTCATCACACATTTCAGTTTTTGGAACCAGTAACTGTGGGTGCTTGGTCTCAGCTCCTGAAATAACAAAATACACGTCAGCTTTTGCTGACCTGGAGAAAGAACAGGATCGTAACGTCACGACGGTCAGGAAGTGTGCGACTTCGGAGTCTGTGAAAGGGCCCATCGAAGGAAAGAATCCCCTCACACGTCGCCCCTCCTCCGCAGGTTCTTCTGCCAGGTCAGTGACCTCCCACGCCCAGAGCGGAACCCCGATTCTCAGCCTACCTGGCACTTCCCTTAACCTCCATCAGGCACTTAACACGCCACCTGGCGCCAGGGTGGCCGCCCCCAGACAGGTCTCCTCCCGCGGTCTGAGGCCCGAGCACACCAGGGGACCTGCCCGGAAGGGCACCAGCGTGTGCCCAGGCTCGCCTCCCCACCTCAGCCTCCGGGTGCGGATCCGCTCACAACCCACCGGCTCACTGGGGAGACTCCCTGCACGCGAGGGGAGATCGAGGCAACCTAGGTGCTGTGCATGAGGACGCTGATCTCAAAGAGAAGGTAAGCAGGGACAGAAAGGGCCACGCTGGTCACCAAGACGACTACAGTGGCCAAGAGCCCCCGAAACACCGAGAGGCTATACAGCAGCGCAGGATAAGAACGTGAGTCCCGGAGCCAGACTGCGTGGTTTCAAATCCCCGCTCTGCCACATACCGATCGCATGACTTGGGGCTGGTAACTTCTCTGTGCCTCAGTTTCCTTACCTCTGAAATGCACACAATAACATATCTACCTCATCAGACCACGGGAGGAGGAACTGGGCTTCTCTACGTCCACTGCCGAGAGGAGCCACGGAGCACGGGAAGCGGCTCTGTGTCTGCAGGGACTTTCGGCCTGACCAGCGGCGCCGTGGTTGGGAGCCAGGAGGAAAGGTGAACCTTGGGGATGGCACTTCCTGTGGTGACAGGTGGCAACACTAGAGGGACTAAAGGACAACGGAGCCCTAGTGTTGAGGAAACAGCCTGGCTTTGTGGCAGAGAAAGCTGCCCTTCTGAGTTAAGTGTGAGACATGGTGTAGCCTGCTCCACCGTACCAAACAATATCATGAGAACAGCAAAACTTATTTTAAATTTTTAAAAAGGATTTTACTTATTTATTTTTAGCAAGAGGGGGAGGGAGGGAGAAAGAGAGGGAGAGAAACATCAATGTGTGGTTGCCTCTCACCCACCCCCGGCTGGGAACCTGGCCCACAACCCAGGCATGCGCCCTGACTGGGAATCGAACCAGCGACCCTTTTGGTTCGCAGGCAGGCACTCAATCCACTGAGCCACACCAACCAGGGCTGAAACTTCTTGAAGTTTTAGAACTCTGACTAGTCTCTGGTTGCTCTACACTGCAACAGAACCCTGACGGTGTCAACATGGGGTCCCGCAGCCAGTGACATCACAGCTCTGCCTGTCTCCTCTCCAGCCCACTGCCCTTGACCGTGCAACAAGCACCCACGCAGCCAGGGCCACACTCCACCAGAGCTGGTGGAGCAAACCCTTATTAAGTGTCTGGGAATTAAATAGAGCTCAGGAACCCCACTCAAACAATGAGGAGAGTGGGATGAGGGTCAGCGGGGCGGGGAGCCAGGCCTTCCCACTGCAGTCAGCTCGGAAGAGAGCGGCTGCATCACACAGCAACTGCCGGAGGGATCCGGCACCCACGGGATGCCCTACAGGCTCAGGCCAGGGGGACTCTCTGACCAGAGGTGCGTGGCTGCGACAGAGCAATACAGGGGGCCGGATGATGGCCCGTTTGGCTGCCTGGTTAGGACTGCGGTGACGTGAAATTCCGTCACGATCATTCAGTAAGAAGGGTGGGGTCACAGAAAGGAGAGGCCTGAGCATGAGATGCAGCAGAGCCTGAACGTGACAATAAAAAAATCTGAAATGTTCACCTTTTTCTGGTTTTGTCTACTCCGACTGTTCTCTCTCTCTCTCTTTTTTCAAAGCTGCTCCATTTTCCTTCCTGTTGTTTAAATGTTCTTGTATCTTCTTACTTTCTCTGTCTACTTCTTTTCCCTGCTGCCTCTCTTACTGCTCTCCTCTCCTGGTGTTTATTTTTTAAAAATTTTAAGTGAACCATTCCGACTCTTCCCTTGTATAGTTTCATGTCTCTTCCACTTTTCTTCTGCTCATTACACTCTTCCCGTTTCCATGCTCTACTATTCTTCATCACCTACGCCGCCACACCTTGCTGTTCTCCCTTCTACCGCTCCTCCCCTACCCTTCCCACCCCCTTCTCTCCTCCGGCTCCGGCTCCTCACCACTAACACGAGGGGGGCCCACGCCCCGCCAAGCAGGTTCCCCGACAGAACAAGCCCAGGAACCCGTCACTCATCACCTCACTCGCTCCCCTGACCGCACCCCCACCTTCCTCACTATGAGACTCAGGCAGATACGAAAGAGGAAGACGGGTGGGAACTACTGAACCAATCAGACCCATAATAGAGGCGTTGTTTGTATCTGCATAACGCTGTGCGCTAAAATTCTTACAGAACCAGGAACAAGGGCAGCTCACGAGGCCGTGCTGTAGCTGCCCGTTTTTCCGCTCCATCGCGCAGACAGGCGAGGGGCCGGGGCCCATCCTGCGTGCTCAAGCTCAAACCAAAATCAAAAGAAAACTATTTTTCTTTCACTTTTTAATTAGCTGCTGACTATATCCTGACATATGAAGGGTAATTTGATATACTAAATTTGTAAGTCCAGTTCATTAGATTTACTAAAGATTTGTTTATCAAGATTTATAAAATTTATAAGTCTGCCTGTTTAGGTGTTGGAAATGTTCTAAAGAACTAAAAATATCAAATTTACAATTTAATATATTTTTTATTTGAGAAAATAAAAATAGACTGTTATGTAGGTGGAATTAAATGACCAGAAGTTTAAACTTGAAGGTTACCTAACCATGAGTTAAAGAAAAACTACAAGTGTTCTCATGTTTATAAAAATACTTCTAGATGTATAAATTAAGTAAAAATAAGGAATACTTAAAAACTTCAAAACTTGATTTTAAATGTATCAACTTTAATAAATTCAATATTGTATAGGAAACCGTAGATAAACTCCCTCAGACTTCAGAAACCCAGAAGCACGTCAAAACTCCAAAGCACGTGCATGCGCATCACACGACTTCACATCAAGATGAAACTTCTTCGCTTGTGCGGGGGCTGAAAACAGGCAGGCCTGTCTTGTCCCTGCTCGGTCCCCAGCACAACCGCCCTGCCAGGCGCACAGGAAGCCGGCCCCGACAAACCCTGCATCTACTGAATGAAGGCAGCCCCACCTCCCAGAACAGGGAGTGGGGGTCCGGAGAAGCAGTGGACTGGCTCAAGGTCACGCCGTTATCAGAGGTGGAGGAGCCACCACCCGCAGGTGTCTCTCACTTCTCAGAGCTCAGTGTCCCCACCATCACCTGCTGCTGGGGAAGTCAGTCTTGGCTGGGAACAGTCCTGAAGGAGGAGGCAGAAAAGGAACACGGAGGCCATCCCTGGTGGGTGAGTGCAGTGGAGAGTAAGTGGTACATGGGCATGCACCACTGGGAACGGAACAGAGAGCAGAAAGTGGGGAACAGAATCTACGGAGAGTCTGAGCAGTAAGTAAAAAGGGGACGAGAAGGTGGAGATCCTCACCGTCCTCACAACACTGGTTTCGGGAAGTGACTTGGTTCGCAAACGCCCAAGCACCCGGCTAGGGAGGGGAGTGGGTTCCACAGACGCAGGCTCTGCCCTGTGCCAGGCAGACGCACGACACGAGTGCCAGAGGGGCCTCAGCAGGAACTCGGGTGGGGGTGGGGGGCTGCCTCATCAATGCAGGACTCACGGCGACCACTTCTCACCCACAGTTACCAGTCACTCCGCCAGCAAGCTCCTGCCACTGCTAGACACACAGAACATACCTCCCTTTCCTGAGTCCCGGCTTAGAGAACCAGGGGATACGCCACCGAACCCTCCATGAAGAGGGTTTTGAACACCATCACAGCTGACACAACTGCTCAAAACCTTCTAGAATCTGCACAGAGATCTAGGAAAACAGAACACCCGCCAGGGCATTTTCTCAAAATCACCACAAAAGTTGAGCCCTGCTACCTTAGGTAGCTTTTCTTGCAGGCACACCAACCTACACTAAACACAGAGTACATGAAGAGGACATGTACCTCCACGGGTGAATAGATATGAAACCTGCTGAACAATAAATGCGAGGAAAAGGTGAATCTGAAGTTCACCTGTGTTTGTCTGGGGTCCTGCCTGTATGCAAAAATAAGCCATTTCCTGTAAAAAATGCACAGGCATTTTCTAGCATTCTGAATCAGGGGGCTGCACTTACCCAGAGAGGCCACGTTCCCATGAGTCTCCAGTGCCTCGCTCCTGGCCAGATTCCCTAGTAACGAGTGGCTGCCAAGGGCTGCGGCGGCAGGCGCCTCCGGCGTTGCCTTCAGGACTACCGCCATGTCCCAGAACATGTTCTGACCCTAGAGACAGGCAGGCACAGGTGCGTGTATGAGAGGACGGCGGCGGGGCGGGTGGCAGTCAGGTACGACGACAGCTTTTGAGGATGAGAATGTTTAAGTACCTGTTCCTGAAAACCATAAAACAAACAACATCCCTCCCAAAGATACTTTTTTTTTTTTTTTTTTTTTAAGAAAAAGGAAGCCAGAGTCTTTCCTAATCCCCAAGACAAATCAGGCAGAAAAGCAAGCCTGCCAGCTTCTCCCCTATCGGTCTGATCCGCTGCACTGCTCTCTCTCGCATCCAAACCTCACCTGCCAGTGAACGCAGGGTGAGAGAGCACATGGAGACAGTGTGCAGAGTAGAATTTTCTAAGACCTAAAGATCAAAGATGATCACGTTATTACAGGGAACCTCACCTGGCTAGTAACACCAAGGGGGGTGTTTGGAAACATAAGGACCACAGCAAGGTGTACAGCCTCACCACTCCAAGTGTGGTCCGCAGTTCGAGAGAACTGCCATCACCTGTGGGCTTGTGGGCAATGCAGACTCTCAGGCCACACCCAGGCCTTCTGAATCAGAACCTGCACTTTAACAAGACCCTCCTGCAGGGGGTTCCTAAGCATACTGAAGTTTGAGAAACGCAGGTTAGAGTTCGCAAATCCTGACTACAATCACCTGAGCAGTTTTTAAAACGATAAAAGTCTGAGTTTCCTCGCGCAGAGATGCTGATTTAAATGGAATGAGGTATGGCATGGACATCACAGTTTTTAAAAATCTCCCCGGGTAACCCTGGGCAGCAAAGTCTGAGAACCCCCGGTTTATAAAGCACTGAATGTCACACCAGTCAGAAGAGAACGTTCCTATCATATTCCAAAGGACTGAGGGCCAGGGCCCTAGCTAGAAACAAGGCCCCAGGTGTGCAGGCGGAGGGACAGCGTCCCCTCTGAAACCACCTGAGGTCTCCGGTTCCCCCCTCCCTCACTCCTTCCAGGCCCCTGTTTACCTCTTCCTCCTGCTCTGCCGCAGCAAGGCCTCTCCGAGGGTCCTCGCCGGGGGGCCAGACTTGCATGTTCTCAGAGAGCACCTGTGGGCCAGATGCCTGGCCTAGGAAGTCTTCCTCCTCTTCCTCCTCCTTTTTCACCGTCACTGGGCCCCAGGGGGCCAGGGCCATGGCCTCTCTCAGAGAGAGATCGGCAGTCACCTTCTCTGCTCGGCGGTGGGAGAAGTCCTGGCGCTGGGGGCAGCCCAGCAGAGGTCAAGCCCCATCTAATCTTCCCATTTCCGGAGTTTCTTCTCAAGCTCCTTCCCGGGGCCAGGGTGAGTGCTGCCTACCGAGAAATCAGAAAACACCGTTAGCACCGAGCAGAGGTCTGCCTGGCGGCCACCAGGCCCACCGGCCGATCTCAGCGGTGCCTGGACAGAGTGGCCCCTGCAGCCTATATGATGTCTATTGACTTTTCCCGTTATAAAATTAATACATTTTTATTATAAAAACTTGAAAAACACAGAAAATTGTTAAAAGAAAAAATCAACTCTGGTCCACCTCCAAAGAGATAACCACTGTGTATCGTAGAATACATTTCTTTTTTTTAAGGAAAACTTCCAACCATGCTGAATATTATGACAATTTCAACTTTTTGTTTTTAACTGTGGGATTCTTGTTTTCACAATTATCATCATGTCTGTCTGTTTATTTGTTTTTCAGAAGGGACATTACACCCTGGCTGGGGAGGCTCAGTTAGTTGTTAGAGCATCATCCTGGACACTAAGAAGCTGGGGGTTCGATCCCCAGTCAGGGCACTTATGGGAAGAAACCAGTCAAGGTTTCTGTCTCACACTGATGTTTCTTTCATCCCTTTCTTTTCTAAAATTAATAAACATATTTTTAAAAAAATTCTTAAATAAACCTGGCTGGCATAGCTCAGTGGATTGAGCACGGGCTGCAAACCAAAGTGTCGCAGGTTCGATTCCCAGTCAGGGCACATGCCTGGGTTGCAGGCCATGACCCCCAGCAACCACACATTCATGTTTCTCTCTCTCTCTCTTTATCTCCCTCCCTTCCCTCTCTAAAAATAAATAAATTATATCTTTAAAAAATTCTTAAATAAGAAGGGAGATTACGACCCAAAGATTTTAGTACCAAAGGGAAATAATAAGAATGAACAAAAGAATCTCAAGCAAAAGACTGGGAGCCTGGATGCCAACATGTCAGGGGTGGTTACCACTGGGCGATGTGACTATAGGTAGTTTCGAGGTTCTTTCTGCTGGATTTTTACCTTTTCCATTTACCTTTACCTTGTCCTGTGAGACTAAATATTACTCTTAAAATAAAAAAGATTTTTCATGTTGCCAGTCTTCACACTTATCATTTTCAGTAGCCTATGGTGTTAATTACAATTCTCACTGAACAAGGATCAAGTAACACAGAAATATACATAATTAAATATATGCCCTACACAACACCACCACCACACACACACAGAATAGTTACCAGTTTAGTCTTTTCCCTGCATTGCCACACATGTATGTACACCTTCACAGGTTTATTTTTCCACAGCATGTTATATCACACATGTATAACCTTCAGCAATCTGCACTGCTTGTTTCTGAACTCCACTTCCCCAGTTCACAACAGTCTAGTCGTCTCAGGTAGATGCTTCAGTGTAAGTGCATTTGGAGCGCTCACATTCTGGCACAGCACTCTCAACTACGGCTATAATTTACCTAACCATCTGTTACTTATGAGCTACTGCTTTAGTGAAAGGAGTTTTGATTCTTTCCAGTTATGTTCTTAATAATTAATGCTATTTTTTTTCTGTGAAAACAGAACAAGAGGGATTATTGGTTGAAGGATTTCATGGTTGACTTGTATTGCCAAATTGCTTTCTAAATGACCACACCAAATCACATCGCCACCAACTTGACAGTAGTCAAAAAAATTATGGGGAGAAAATTATTTTAATATGAGAAGAATGAGAAATGTCTATTTCCCTCTACATGCTTTATGGGGGGGGGGGGCAGGAATTTCGGCCCGGGACCAGTGGTAGTTCAGCTGGTCAGAGGATCATCCTAATTGTCAAGGTTGTGGGTTCGATCCCCCATCAGGGCACATGCAAGGATCCACCCATGAATGCATAAATAAGTGGAACAACAAATAGTGTGTCTTTCTCTCCCTTCCCCTCTTTCTCTAAAAATCAACCAAAATTTTTTTTTAAATGCTAAATTTTACTAACTCCCCTTTACTGCTATTGAAGTGTTCGTATGCTTTTTTACAAGATGTTAACTTACTGGATACAGTACATTTCTTGAGTAATACAATACTTCTGATTCCTGCAACAAATCTTCATTCTGCAAGATTCTTCTGTCCTTGACTAGCTAAATTCTACCAGGTAGGAAGACCCTTTTAACACTCGTTTCGCCTGTGAACGCGCAAGCCTGGCTAAAGTAACATCATCAGACTGCTGGTCCCACTTAAATCGGCCTTCAGACCTAGATGGCACAGAGTCCCCCAGCAAGAACTTCCCCTCCACTGTCCTTTCCCTTCTCCAAACGTGGCAGCCCACCTCCTCCACCAGGCCTCGCGCAGCCCCGTTCCCAGGGTAAGCCTGCCTCCTGGGAGGTTGGTGTCCAACATGCCCCAAGCCATGCCCTCCGCAGGCGGCAGCCGGGCTTCGCTGCGGGCTTCCGGAGTAGTGGGTCGCGGAGCCACCCTCGGACAGAGCTGATGACCCGGAGGGAGGACGCGGCGGCCCACTGCAGGGATGGCTGGTCCCGCGCCCGCGAGTTCGCGCCCACCCCCGCCAACCCCGCTCACCGTGAGCCACGGAGAGACCCGGCCAGAGCTCACGAGTTTGGGGGAAGCCGGACAGCGGACCGGGACCTCAGCGCCTAGCGGCGCGAGAACAATGACCGGACAGGAAGTGCCTCGGGAAGGGCTTCCGGCTCTCCTAGTCGCCAGGCCGGCCTCTCTAGGAACCGCGGAGGTACTTCCCTCTCGATGGGTGTCCACTATCGCTCCCGGTCAGGGCTGGGAGCCAGAGCGCACAGCAGGGGAGTGCAAGTCCACTGTGGCCCTGGGCCTCAGGGAGGGCGGCATCCCCAGGCTGGGCAGGGGCAGTCAGGCGAGGCGAGTACCCAGGAGCCCGCGCCTACAAAGCATTCATCTGCAAAAAGCCCTGATGACTTTGCTCCAAATGTTTTATTTTGAAAATACCAAACGGCACAGAAAAATTAGAAGAAAGGTACAACGAATACCTGTATCCTCCATCTGGACTCAACAACCATCACTTTCTCTCGTTCCCCTTGTACTCTATAGATACTGAAAAACATTTTTTTGAAAGTTGTAAACATCAAAACACTTCGTTCCAAATATTTCAATATTCATCCCTTAATAATAGTCTCCAAACACCATCATTACAGGTTAACAAAATTAACAATAATCCCCTAATATCCAGCTGTATTTAAATTTTCCCAATTGTCCTAAAATATATATTTCATAATCTTGTTTTTCCAAATCAGTTTCACAGACTGCATCTGATTCTCTCTTCAGTCTGTTTTTAATGTTTATTTTGAAATTGTAGGTTCATAGAAGTTGCAAAGATAATACCCTTCACCTAATTTCTTCCAGCAGATCTCTCTCATAATTATTTAAAAAAAAAAAACAGAAAACCAACATTGGTACAATGTGTGTGTGTATACTTGTCATCTTGTCACATGTATAGATTTGTGTAACCACCACCACCAACACACACAACTGCTCCAATACCACAGATCCCCCCCCCCCCCCGCCCCGGTGCTGCTGCTCCCTCCCACCATCCCTAACCCCTGGCAACAACGGTTTTTTACCTCCATAGTTTTGTCATTTTAGAAAATTGTATAAATGAAATCATATTCGACCTTTTGAATTTCTCACTCAGCGTGATTCTCTGGCGATTCACTTGAGGGACCGGAGGTACGGCAGAGCATCCCAGTTTATTGCAGAGCAGGACATGTTCATGGTACAGCTCTACCAGTGTGTTACCACTGCCTGCTGAAGGATATCTGGGTTACTTACAAATTTTAACCACGGATAAAATTGCTATGAACAGTCATGTACAGGTTTTCATGTGAATGTAAGTTTTCATTTCTCTGGAGGGTGATGCTCAGGAGGGTAAGTACTGGGAAGAAAACGGCCAAACTATTTTCCAGAATGGCCGTGCCCTTTCACATTGCTGGCAAATGAGAGATCCAGTTTCTCCACATCCTTGCCAGCATTTGGTGTTAACACACTTTTTTTAAAAGCTATTCTGTGGTTATTTTTAACTTGCATTTCCCTAATGGCTAATAATGCTGAACATCTTTTCATCTGCTTGTCATCTATACTTTGGTGAAATGTCTGATTTTTTGCTCATTTTCTAATTAAATCTATTTATGACTGAGTTTGGAGAATTCTTTATACAGTCTAGATAGAAACCCTGTATGGAGATATGATTTGTAAATATTTCTTTCCCTTCTGTAATGTCTTTAAATCCTCCTAAAAGAGTCTTTTGAAAAGCAAATAATTTTGGTAAGATCCAATTTATCATTTTTTCCTTTTATAGAACATGTTTTTTTTTATACAAATCTGAGTTTTTTGCTTAGACTTAGTTCACGATTTTTTCATTTTTTGGCCTATGGATATCTAATTGCTTCGGCAGCATTTGCTGAGAAGGCCCTCCTTGACCGATTTCATTTGGCATCTTTGTCAAAAATCAACTGGGCATTCGTGTGCGTCTATTTCTGACTTAGCATCTTATGGCTCTTTAGTACCTTTTAGAAAGAACCTCCTCATCCACTCTGTATACCTTCCACTGTTACATTTCATACATACATAAAAGCAGAGAGCAGTACAATGAACTCTCAGTATTCAAGCTTCAAAGATGATCACCCCTCCCCTTTCCATCATCATATCTTTTTGAAGAATGCAGTTTTTTGTATACAGTATCCCTGTATCCCATGTTCTGAATTTTATCTCGTGGTGTCATTTATCTTGTTCTTCTGCCTCTTGTGTTTCCTGGAAGCTGGGATCCAAGAAACCTGAGTTCAGGTTGTACCTTTGACTTATTGCATCACATGAGGAGGTACAGTATGTGAGCGGTTTCAGCCTTAGTGATATTGCATTTCCTAGAAAAGATTTTTAGGGGGGGGAAGGGCAGGAGAAAGGAAGACAGACATACATGTGAGAGGGAAACATTGATCAGCTGCCTCTCACACATGCCCTGACCCCGGGACCAAATCCGCAACCCAGGCAGGTGCCCCGACGGGAATCAAACCAGCGGCCTTTTGCTTGGCAGAACGACACCCAGCCGAGCCCCAGAATTCAGGGTATTGCCGTTGCACTTTAATTGGTTAAGCGGTAAACACTAGCTCTCTCCATTGTTCAAGTCCATGATTCCTCTAGTACCCATTACGTGATCTGGGGTGATCTTCCTTCTGCAGCGTGGATGTGAAGCGTTTTCACACCCAGTACCTCCTAACGACTCGGTGAGGTAGACGGTCTCCCTCCTGATTTACAGGGAAGGGACTCAGGCTCCAGGAAATAACGGCGTTTGTCCAGGGGAAGCTGCAGCTTGGCTCTTAGCCAGGTGGCCACACTTTTAGCCTCGGGCTCCTGCCAGTTTCCACTCTTCGGTATCTTTCATTCTGATGAGGAACCAGCCCTCATGGAGCTCTGGGGTTGAAGGAATAACACTTATTACAATCAACACACCACTTCCACACTTACTGGTGTTAGAAAACACAATCCTGATGTTCAGGTATTAATAGTCCGGCTGCAGACCTGAAGTTTGGAGAAGTACAACATAAAAGAGAACCACAACATCAAGTTACCAACTCAAGAATACAGGCTGAACTCATTTCACAGGTGTACAAAAGGGAAGACGGAAGGAATGGCTGGTTTAGGGAATAATGGGCCTGACTGCCCAGAGGGGGGTTCTGCATGGGTTTAACGCGAGCCCGAAGGGCTCGGCTGCGTGAAGAACTCACGCTGCTGAGAGCTGGGACAGAAGGCTGTTTCTGGAGTCGCACGCTATCTCGTGTCAGCCACGACAATGGCAATGTGGTGATCAGAACTGCGAATGACAGTGGCAGGGATAATCAGCTCAAGGGTGGGGGAGGTAAGGGCTTTTCCCCATGAACAAGGGAAGTGACACAGGACTGTTCTTCCAACCTGACACTCTACACCCACTAGGTTTCAAATTCAAAGGTTGGAAAGAAACTCTTTGCCTTGGTGTCAGTGTTGATGGCTGTACATACTGTTTTCCCACAGTAAGCCAGTGTTGTTACATAAAAACAAACTAGGCATATAATCTATGAGTTCGCTTAAACATTTTTAAAGCTGTATTTTTAAAGTCCTCTTAAGAGTGCTCAATTCCAGTTAGCTGCCCCACCACACTTCCCCTACTATCAAAGTGGATACATTTTGAGTTTCACAGTCTGAACAAACATTACATTATGCCACGTTCTAGACTTTGATTAGACCTCTTTTATCCAATTTCACTGACAACAAAATGATTTCACAAAGATCACTTAATCCTCATAACAACCCTGTGAGGTAGGCATCATGTCAGTGTTTGACTGACAGAGAAGCTGAAGCTGACTTAGTAACAACACACAGTTCGCAAGAGAAGGAGCCGGGACCTAAACCCTGGTCTTCTGATTCCAAATCCAGTGCTCTTCTGAAGTTATCCTCAAACAACAGACTCTTTTTTTTTTAAATAAAGCCTCTTTTTTAATTGATTTTTTTTAAGACAGAGGAAAAGGGAGACAGAGGCAGAGATTTTTGTTGTTTCCATTATTTATGCATTCACTGGTTGATTCTTATATGTGCCCTGACCAGGGATTGAACCCACAACCTTGGCACATCAGGATGATGCTCTAACCAACTGAGCTACCTGGCCAGGGCTAAACCCCAGACTCTGGCTCACCCAACTCCATGTCCAACATGTCTCAATCTGCTATCTATTTAGACTTTCTGCAGCAGTGATTCTATCTTTAAAATGTGTACTATACACATTTTCAGAAACAACTTCCACTTCTTAATACAAAGATATTTTTGCTATCGTTTACAATATCATTACTTCTTAATAAGCCATACACCCAATTTCTTCAGTCCTCAATTGCTCTAAGGTCTCTTTCTAGGTCCTAACAAATGATTTGGAACAGAATATCCTTCAACTAGAACTTGGTTTGTTTTTGTAGTCTTGAAAGTCTAGAATAACTTTCTTCCACATGCAACTTACTTGAATATAAAAGAGGCAATCACATTTCTTCCTATTGAGAACTGCCATTTCTCCAGCAGTTACTTAAATAGGCAGAAATTGTATTCCCTTTTACCTATGACACTAGATTTTCTGAATCTCTATCTTGGGCTCAGCTCATTGGCATTGTGAGGCCAAGAGAATTCTTCCACAGCATGGACTTTTTGTTGAAGATGAAGGTTTGAAGTCTGATTGAATTCTTTTTCAGACTCATCACATTCACAGAGTTTTTCAACTGTATGAATTTTCTGATGCACAGTAAGGTTTTTTCTTTGCCTAAAAACTTTACTACAATCATTACACCCATATGGTTTCTCCCCTGTGTGGATTCTCTGGTGGCCAACTAAATTCCTCTTAGACGTGAAAGATTTACTACACTTCTCACACTCATATGGCTTTTCCCCAGTGTGCATTCTCTGGTGAACGACAAGATTCTTATTCTGACTGAAGTCTTTTCCACACTCACTACATTTATAAGGTTTCTCTCCAGTGTGGATTCTTTGATGTACCATAAGATTTCTACTAGAGGTAAGGACTTTTCTACATATATGGCACTCATAGGTTTTCTCCCCACTGTGAATTCTTTGATGTTCAATAAGATTTCTGTTGTACGTAAAGCCCTTCCCACACTCGTTACACGCGTAGGGCTTCTCGCCAGTGTGGATTCTCTGATGGGCTATAAGGTTTGAGCGGTAACTGAAGACTTTCCCACAGTCGCTGCACTTGTAAGATTTTTCCCTTGTGTGAATCCTCTGATGTCCAATGAGGCTTTTCTTCAGAATGAAGCATTTGCCACACTCGTTACACTCATAGGGCTTCTCGCCACTGTGGATTCTCTTATGCTCAATGAGGTTCCTGTTGGAACTGAAAGCTCTTCCACACTCACGGCACTCAAAGGGCTTCTCCCCGGTGTGGATTCTCCGATGCACCAGCAGGCTGGAATTGTAACTGAAAGCCTTCCCACAGTCCTCACATTTGTAGGCTTTTTCCTGCGTATGGAGTTTCTGATGGACCATGAAACTCTTGCTCATAATGAAGGTTTTCCCACACTCGCGACATTCATAGGGCTTCTCCCCGTTGTGGAGTCTCTCGTGGTCAATCAGGTTTCTGTTGGAACCAAAGACCTTGCCGCAATCTTTACATTCATAGAGGTTCTCTCCAGTGTGGAACCTCTGATGTAAAATGAGGCTCTTTTTAAGAATGAAAACTTTCCCACATTCATTGCATTCGTAGGGCTTCTCCCCGTTGTGGAGTCTCTGGTGGTCAAAGAGGTAAGCGCTCTGGGTGAAGGCTTTCCCGCAGTCGGTGCACTTGTAGGGCTTCTCTCTGCTGTGCATCCTCTTATGGTCAATGAGGCTTGACTTAGAACCGAAAACCTTCCCGCATTTTTTACAACCGAAGGTCTTCTTTTCTGTGTGTACTCTCTGGTGCAAAAGGAGGCTCTTGCTCCGAATGAACACCTTCCCACATTCCTTACACTTGTATGGGTTCTCTGCACTGTGGAGTCGCTGGTGGTCCACGAGGTACGCGGTCTGGGCGAAGGTTTTCCCACATTCATCACACTTGTAGGGTTTTTCCCCGGAGTGGATTCTCTGGTGCAGAATGAGGCTCTTCTTCAGGACAAAAGCTTTCTGACACTTGTTACACTTATAAGGCTCTTCGCCTTTGTGGAGCCTCTGGTGGTCGACGAGGTAAGCGTTCTGAGAGAAAACTTTCCCACACTCGTCGCATTTGTAAGGTCTCTCTCCGGAGTGGCGCCTCAGGTGGATGATCAGGCCCGAGTGCCTGTAGAAGCCCTTCCCACACTCCTTGCACTTGTACGGCTTCTCCCCGGTGTGGATTCTCTGGTGGTTTAGAAGGTAAGCGCTTTGGGAGAAGGCCTTCCCACATTCGTTACACGTATAAGGCTTCTCCCCAGAGTGGTTCCGCAAGTGCATGAGCAGGCTTGAGCGCTGAATAAAGCCTTTTCCACACTCCTTACACTTATGAGGTTTCTCGCCAGTGTGGATTCTCCGGTGGTTTATAAGATGGGAGATTTTATTGAAATGTTTACAACATATATCGCATTTATAAAACTTCCTTGCTTCGGCACCCATTAGACTTTCAGAGGGAGCTGAGCCTGACGTTAAGTCTTCTCCGAGGTCCTTCCCCTTTCGGCCTCGCTTCCCCGGCAGAGTCCTTTTCCTCTTGTCCCGGGCACGGAGGACGCCGTTCTTCGGTGTGTCTCGTTCCCGCGACCCCTTTTCCCACCGACTTGCCGACAGTGGCCACCCGCACTCTTTCTCACACTCGAGGACCTGGGGAATGCCGCCCTGAAGTCTTTTCGATGCTCCTTTCTGGGAGTCTACTCTCTGCGATGCGCTTGGCTGTGATGTCACCTCGTCACCCTCAGTCATGGTCTCCCATTCTGGTAAAAAGAACGAAAGACCCGAATGTTACCAAGTCCCTGTGTGAGTGATCAGAACAAAATCTCCTGACAAGCTGGAAGGACACACTTTGACACGCATACAAAAGGAAGAAACTTTCCATTAAATGGAGGTACAAAGCAGAATGCTACATTGACGGAGCACTATAAACGGACTAACACGGAACACATCTGGAGCTACATCCAACGCTCTGTCTTCAGAAAGCAGACGGAAAAATGTAATCGGTGTTGAAAAGCAGATGCAAGGTAGAATGGGAGAGATCATGGGACTTTACACAGGTGATTCACTGGTTCAGGCCCGAGGTCCAGAAAGTTGAATGGAACAAGAATAATTTCTCTACAAAGAACTGTCATTTTATTTCCTTCATGCTAGGAAGATGGCAACTCTAAAAGAAAGGAAAGGTACCTAAGGACTCTGCAAGGCAATTTTTAATTTCAGAGTCAAGTGCATAAACACTTTTTAATTACTTGAAAGCAATTAACCTACAAAAAATCTATTAAAAAGCAACTTAATGCTTAGAATTATATATTAACTCCCACTATTCCTTTTAAAAGTAAGAAATGGAAATTTTAAAATTATTTTCTCAAAAACATCAGGTATGGGTTAGCTCTGCTCACTTAGACATAAAAGATAAGAGAAAAAATACAGAATGTAAAGAAAAATAGAGACGAGAGATTAAAAAATATGAAACCGTCTAGAGAACGAAGAGCCTGAACTAGATAACCTTCAAGGTCCCTTTGTACTCTGATATTCTCAAATATTTAAAAATGTGAAATTCACTTTTTGCCCTGGCCAGATAGCTCAATTGGTTAAAACACTGTCCACACCAAGGTTGTGGGTTCTATCCCTGGTCAGGGTACATACAAGTATCAACTAGTGAATGCACAAATAAATGGATCAACATACCAATGTTTCTCTCTCTCCCAAATCAGTAATGAGATACTGCTTCAGACCCACTAGGATGGCTATGATCAGAAAAAGACATAGTAACAGGTGTTGGTGAAGATCTGGAGAAACTGGAACCCGGATGCAATTGGTGAGAGTGTAAAATGGTGCAACAACTTTGTTAAACAGTTTGTCAGTTCCTCAACTGATTAAACATAAGAGTTACCGTATAGCAATTCCACTCCTAAGGATACATACAAGAGAAATGAAAGCATACATATACACAAAACCTTGTACCAAATGTTCATAGCACTGTTATTCACAATAGCCCAAAGGCAGAAGCAACCTAAAGGTCCAGTTACAGATGAATGGATCAATAAAATGTGATACATCCATACAAAGAAACAGCATGTGCTTATTATAAAAAAGGAATGAAGTGTTAACATATGCTACAAATGGAGGGACCTTGAAATCATTATGCTGGGTAAGAGAAGTTAGTCACGAAAGGCCATCCATTATGTGACGCACTTTGGATGAAATGTCCAGAATAAGCTACCCACAGACACGGAAGGCAGCTTGGTGGTCACCTGGGGAGAGGCTGGAGGGAGTGGTGGGTGAAATGGAGACGACCACTGAAAGGTACCAGCTTTTTTTGCAGGGTGATGAAAACGTTCTGACACGGACTGGGGTGATGGCTGCGTGACTCTGGGGGTTCACTAACGGCCACTGAGCTGTACCCTTTGCACGGGGGTGTTGTGTGGCACACACAGGAAGACGATAGTAAGATGACCAGTAAACACGGGGAAGATTTCAAGCACATTGATAATTAAAGAAATGAAGAACGAACAAAGGTAGTATTCTTCACCCACCCAGCAAAGATTTTAAACACTGACTGAATCCCAAGCACACGCAGGGAAAACGGGCCACTCTGCTCTGTCCGTGGGGGTGCGGGCCGGCAGGACACCGAAAGGAAGCAGTTCGGTAACAGCATCAACATACAAACTCTACGGAACGTTTGGCCCTCCACCACCACAGCTGAGAGGCTAAGAGATATGGTCTCATAAGTATAAAGATATACAGTATAAATTACTGTGGACAATAATATATTAATGTTGCTGGGTACAAGATTAACATAGGGAAGCTCAGTATTTTCATACATGCAAACACCACTCAACTAGAAAACATCAGAAGAGATTCCAATTCCGAGGAATCAATGTAACCAGAAACACACAAGAGCTAGATGCACAGGGCTTGGAAACAGTCCGACGCATACAAAGGTGGTACTGGACAACCGGAACGGCACTTAACGTTCTTGGATGGAAATTCAGCCTCCTAAAGCTGTAAATGTACAGCATGACACAGACAATGGGATACTATGCAGCCATTTAACCTGTGTGTATAAAACTGTGTATCAGCCCAAATTACATCAGTCCATTAGCTAATTATGCAGTGTTCCATGTCTAGTTCCCCAACCGAAATCTCCTTTTTCCTTCACGGCCAGCACAGAGCGGCCTCCCTGACGGCCCCCCCAGGCCCCAGGATGGACCTGGCTGCAGCGTGTCCACCTCCACCGCAAGCAGCGCGGGCCCCTCTCCCACAGCTGCTGCGCTGCCCTATTCACTCCTCGCCCGGCCCCCGGACCACGGGGAGCTACTTACAACCGAGCACGTCATTGCCAGTGTCACCACATGATAGGTGGTTAATGTTCGCTAGAAACACAAATAACTAATAAGCTTTAAAAATACCCCATTACTAATGAAAGAAATCCAGTTGGGAGTAGATACTGTAACTGTACACAATTAAATAAGCAACAGTTCAAAAGAACGGGGTTATTCAGCAGCACCAGCGGAGGCAGAGGACAGGAGCGTTCTTCCGCCCCGGCGGTGAGAGCCGGGAGGGCGGACCCCGCGAGGGAGAGCGATGCAGCCGCACCAGCCAGGGCCTTCAGACAACTCAGACACTTGGCCTAGGAATTCTACTTGTAAAACATAATGAGAAATAAAGAAAGGTCTTAGGCACAGAGACAGGTGATTATTACAGAAATTATCTAAAATAAGAAAATGGCTAACTGAATTATGGCAAATTGTGTAGCCAATATAGGTAATATTTGCCAAGAATTTGTAATGGTATGAGTGAGAACACAAGGAATACAGGTTTTAAAAATATACACACGCACACACTTGAAACAATGTAAAAAAAGCCTCAAATACACAGAAAACAACAGAAAGATAATACACCAACATTTTGATAGTAGTGGTCTACAAATAGTGAGTTTAAGGAGGTTTTCCCCCTTCTTTCTAACATTCTGTTTTCCACAGTAAGTATCTACTACTTTCTTTTTTTTTAAAAATATTTTATTTATTTATTTTTTAGAGCGGGAAGGGAGGGAGATAGAGAGAGAGAGAGAGACATCAATGTGCGGTTGCTGGGGGTTATGGCCTGCAACCCAGGAATGTACCCTGGCTGGGAATCGAACCTGGGACACCTTGGTTCCCAGCCTGTGCTCAATCCACTGAGCTACGCCAGCCAGGGCAGTATCTACTACTTTCATAATCAGGAAACAAAGGCTGAGGAAGAGGAGGTAGGAATTGTGGGGAGAAAGGCTCCTTACCCAGGGAGGTCACACTTCCATAATTCTCCAGCATCACGTCCCAGTACAAGGCCCTCTGGATGGGTCCCAGACACGCCCACTCCTCTGCAGTGAAGCACACAGACACCTCTTCAAACAGCACCAACTCCTGAAAGAAAGGGGTGTGTGTGGTCATCCACACCCAGGAGCCCCCACTGAAAGGCTCCTTCCGCACTGTGAGGTCAGGAAGGGGCAAGGGATCACAAGGAGTGAGCAGGAGGCCCCCCGCGTGACGTCTGCTTCCCCTGACTGCATGGCTAGCATGGACCTTGACTTCGAGACGGGAACTGGGCCAGGCTCTGGGCCTGGAGAGAGGGCCCCTGGGCCACACGTAGGTGGTACAGGCCCGGCCTTGGGAAGAAAAAGGGATGCAAACCTCACCTGGGGCTGGGCTGTTAGGAGCATGAGTGCCATTAATTGGTTTCTTGGGTTCTCTTCCTGGAAAAGGGCAGAAGCTTCAGGGGCAGGAGCATCTGAGGAAAGAGGAAAAGCTGCAGTGAGATTTCTGCTTTCCCGCCCACTATTCCACGCCCAACGTCTTCTACAAACACGAAACTCAGAAAGACCCAGAACTCTCAGGTCCAGGCAGGCTGTGATGGCTACACAATGACCTATGAACCTTTCTGAGTGACCCCCTTTGTGCAGGGCTGGGAGAACGCCGAGGGCATTAGTAGGAACGGATAAAAGGTCAGGGACCCAGACAAGGACAACAGGGAGAAGAGAAAGAGCCTGTCACCGTAAGGAATTCACATAGAGGGCAGGAGAGGAAGCGACTATCTGGGAGCAGGCGGATAAGCCACGGTAAGGGCCCAAGAAGAGAGAGACAGCCCAAGGCCAGGGCTACTGAGCAAGTACCATGCGGAGGATCCTGGGGGCTGACCACCGCTGGGTCAGGAGGAGGATCTGGGCAAACTCCGGCTGCTGTGCGGCCCCCAGTGGGCGCCTGAGGAAGTGCTGCTCCTGGACTGCTCGTGCCCCGCTGGGGAGGGTCCTGGTCCAGGATGAGGACTGGAACCTGGGAACAAACCAGACGAAATAAGCTGGCTCTTCCTGTGCCTCCAGAAAACGGACTCGCCTAACCACTGTGGACCGCTTTCTGCCCATAATCTAGAACTGAGAGATCAGAGACCCATCGCAAGTATGGAGCACCGGAACAGCAGTAAAACTCTGCCTAGAGAGCAACGGAGCTGCCCCCCGGCCCCACTCATGGCACTGGGGACCCCTCCCAGAGGAGACTGAACACAACGGTGGGAACGGAAGCCACACCTGGGTGTGGGTTAAGGAGGGAACCACAAGCAACAAGCAAGGATTAAGAGCATGTGTTTCAGCTTCAGACCTAGTTTGAGATGAGACCTGGTTCAATATACTCTTCTACCTATTTACCCCTTTACGTACCCCCTTCCTGCTCCGGTGGAAGGAACGCTAGATTAGGAGTCGAAACACTTAGTCTTGCCACCAGCTAGATGTCTGACGTGAGGCTGTCCAGCGAACCCTTTTCTGCCCCTGTTTTCTTATCTCTCAAATAGGGAGGATGCATTAGTGATGTGTGATAAAATACACTGCTCTTAAAACTCTTGATTTTTATGACTAGAACTAACAAGCCCATCTTCGGTGCCATTGCCAAGGTGAAGTTCTGTTTCAGACTTCTAACAGAAATGTTTTGCCCTGGATGGCGTAGCTCAGTGGATTGAGCACGGGCTGTGAACCAAAGTGTCGCAGGTTCGATTCCCAGTCAGGGCACATGCCTGGGTTGCAGGCCATGACCCCCAGCAACCGCACATTGATGTTTCTCTCTCTCTCTCTCTCTCTCTTTCTTCCTCCCTTCCCTCTCTAAAAATAAAATAAAATCTTAAAAAAAAAAAAGAAATGTTTCTAGTGGGTTACAGATTGACAGTGATCTCACACACACTGGAAACCATTTCAGATCCCAATTTAACAGTCAAAGATAGAAAACCTTGTCAGAAGCAAATATCTCAGCCCAGTCCTCTGGTTCCCAGAAGCCCTGGTAGGGGCGCACACGGCGTGGCCTCGCCAGATCTAGAGAGCTTCATGCTGATTCTCTCACTGCCTTTTACCTCCAGCCTGCAGCGCCACTGCAGACAAAGAATACGCATGCCCCTGTTTAGAACACTTAGCAACCACAGGTTCTTCAGGTGCTTGAACCGAACTCAGCAGTCACAAGCATCACCCAGGAGGACAGAGCGTAGTCGGTGCCTTTGTGCTCATTCCAAACTGGGCCCAAAGACCCAACCATGAATTCCTTTCCCTGGAAAAGTATTCTATGGTCTGAATGGCTCATGAACCTGTGTCCATTAGCGTTAGGGCTGCTTATGTGCTATTAATCGTTAATGGAGATCACAGGCTCAGCCTCCAGCCCTGCCTGCCTTGTCTCGATTCTCTCCTTCCTTCCATCCCCAACTCTTCCCCCTCCCCCTTTCTCACTTTTAGGGCCGGTCCCTCGAGGTCTTTCTGCAGCTCCTCCACCAGGGCCACGGCCTCCTCGCCACTCCCGGGCCGGTGGATCTGCACCCAGGTCCGAATCTCCCCCGGCAGGATGCTCAGGAACTGCTCCAGCACCAGCAGCTCCAGGATCTGGGCCTTGGTGCGCGCTTCCGGCCTCAGCCACCGGCGGCAGAGCTCCCGCAGGCGGCTCAGCGCCTCCTGGGGCCCGGACGTCTCGTGGTACCGTAACTGTCTAAAGTGCAGGTGGGAGGTCTCCCACACGGAGGAGTTGCTCCCTTGGAAGCTGGTTCCCCATTTCCAGACGTCATCCTTCCCTTTAACGAGACCCTCTTGTCTCAGAGCACTGGGGGCCCAGTTTTCTCTTGTCATTGTCGTCATGCAAGAGGGCCTCCTCCCCGGGCCCCTCAATCCTTGCCCGACTTCTCCTTCAGTGCTCGGAGGACGTCATCCACGAGACCTCAGAAAATAATCGTTAAAGTTGACTCGATGAGACAGCCAAGTTTTCCAGACCCCAGCCAGCCCCCGGGGATGAGGAGACCGTCCCCAAAGGCCAGGTGCTCAGCCCTGAGCAGGGTCTCCTTGGACAGAAGGCCCTGCCCACGGTTCTGGGGACCCTGACACAGGACAACCAGACCACTGCTGAAACCACGGACATGCACTCCTCTTCATGTTTGGTCACAGGGCACCTCCTCCACCTAAATACAACGTATCCTTTACCTCGTACTCCAACCACGGGCATCCTGGCTGGTCCTGTGTGATGCTGCACAAGTCACCTCATCTCCGAGTCTCAGCTTCTTAACCTGAAAAACAGGAGTGATGACAGTTCCTATCTTAGGGACTTGTAAGAATCTGATGTCTCAATACATTTTAAGTCTCTGAACACTGCCCGGCACATGGACTCAAACGTTAGTCATCCTTCTGTGACTCGCACTCTCTCCTATGCTCTGCAGCGTCAGCAAGGAACCACGGTGTTACTCCGGACACAGATGAGATAAAACCCCAACACCTCAATTAACGAAGGAAGGCTGGATTCAGTTCTGTGTAACTTTATTGTACACACTTTATATTCTCTGGAAATTGTTCATTGTGTTCATCGAAATATTTGGACAAATCTGAGTAAGATTTTATTGTACAAAATTTAGGCTTGTTGCTCTCTAGAAACCTTCTGGTTTTTAGAAATAACATTTAATTTTCTTATCACAAAACAGAAAGTTTCTAACACCAGAAAACATATATGAAACCAGAGACTAATCATTGCTGTGATCAGGACTGTGCTCTTCCAGTCCTTGCTCTCTGCACCGATGTGGGTCACGAGACCGGATACAACTGTGCGGCTCTGTAACTTACTTGTCACACGTAATAGTAAATACTCATCACTAGTTTTAAGAGCGTATGAGCCCATTCATACTTAAGGAGTCCCCTGTTGTTACATATTTAGATTATTTATAATTTCCCCCTTTTATAAATTAGGCCACAATGACTATCCTTACTAATAAATTTTTGGTTACACAATCTGATTTACTTCTTCAGGAAAAATTCCCAGAAAAAAAATTGTTGGGCCGAAAAAGGTAAAGATAGTTTTAAACTTTTAAGATTGTAAGGATTACATCACTATCAGTGACATATGAAAAGACCTTCATTAATTTTATTTAACACACAGACCCTTAAGGTTCATGCTTACAACTGAGTGAAGGATGCAGAACTATGAACACAATTTTGATAGATGTATAAGCATAATTAATAGGAGGACATGCGGCACGGAAGGAATTCATGAAGGTGATTCTGAATTGGACTTTAAAGGGAAAAGTGGTAAGACCACTGGAGTATTAGGGAAGCTGTTCCAGCAAGAACAAAACTATAATTTCAAAAGCAAGGGAGGCGGCACATGCAGCTCTGTTAGAAACGTGCCTTGCACACCAGAAAAGGGCGGTAAACTCTGGAGGTTAGCTGGCAGGAGCAGAGTGGAGAGACAAACAGGAGTCAAATTCTGGAGACAGCTGAGAGGCAGAACGAGAAGGTGATCGCGTGCTGTAAGTGACAAGCACCAGTGAAGAGGCTTTGCATTTTTTGTGTTATTAATTTAAAAACAGGCAATATATTGACTTGGTTCAAAAGTTAAAATTATACAATGCATACTGGGTAAAGTTTCCCTCTCCTTATTAGCTTCTTGTGTATCTTCCCAGCTACATATGCATCAACATATCCAAGTGTGTACAGGTAACTGTTTCGTACTTCTCGTTTTTCACAGGTGACACAACACCGTGAATCCTGTACTGCATCTTCCTTTTCTCAATTGACAATGTATCTTATTGGTCTTCCTGATCGGCTACAGAGCTCCTCCCTCTTTCATGAATGCATTTACCCATCTCCAGCACTGATCCATGAAATAAACCATTCATAAGCTGGACTTCATCAAAACAAAAACCTTCTGCTCTGCAAAAGGCAATGTCAAGAGAATGAGAAAAAAAGCTCACAGACGGGGAAAAATACTTGCAAAAGACATTCATATCTGACAAAAGACGATTATACTTTGTATATTCCATAGAAAGAACTCTTAAAACTCAGTGATATGAAAACAAACAAGTTACTTAAAAAATAGCCCTAAGACCTTAACATACACCTCATCAAAGGAGATACAGGTTCCAAATAATTGCATGAAAATAGGCTCCACATCATATGGCATCAGGGAAAGGCAAATGAAGCAACAATGAGATGCCACCACACACCTACTGGAATGGCCAGACGCAGGACGCTGCCAGCCCCCAGTGCTGGTGAGCACGCGGGCAACAGGAACTCCCATTCAGCGCTGGTGGGAATGCAAAATGGTGCAGCCACTTTGGAAGAGAATCTGGCAGTTTCTCACAAAACTAAACATGCTCTTACCACATTCTTTAGCGGCTGTACCCCTTGGCATTTACTCGAAGGAGCTGAAAACAAATGTCCTCACAGAAACCTGCACACGGATGTTCGCTGTAATTTATTTGTAATTGCCAACACCTAGAAGTGTCCCAGATGTCCTTTGGCAGGTGACTAAATGGTGGCACATTCAGACAATGGAATATTATTCAGCACTAAAAAGAAAGGAGGTATTAAGCCATGAAAAGACGGGGAGGAAACTTAAACGCATAATACTAGGTATAGAAGCCAACTGAAGAGACTGCGTACCATACAACTCCAAGTGCATGGCATTCTCACCAGGCAAAACCGTGAGGGGCAGGGGCAAGGAGGGATGAGGAGGCAGAGCACAGAGGGCTTTCAGAGCGTGAAACTACTCTGCACGATACTACAGGCTGGGGCAAGAGTAGGTTTACAGTTGTTCACATGGAAAATAATACAATGATGTAAAAACTCCGTATTTCACATACTCACAACTATAACCGTATTTTTGCCCCGCCCTTTATGTGGGGGATGTGTGTCATTATAGATTTATCAAACCCACAGAGTGCACAACAAAGGGAGTGACCCCTAATGCCACCTGTGGACTCCGGATAATAGCGATGTATATGATGTATATACATCGGTGTAGACTCACCAGTTGTAGCAAACGCACTGCCCTGGTGGGGGATGCTAATGTCGGGGAGGCCACGCAACAGCGGGGACAGGAGTGCAGGGGAACGCTCTGTACTTTCTGGTCAACTTGCCTGTGAACCTGAGACTGCTCTAAAAGAGTAAGGTCTATTAAAATAAATACATGCATACATACATACACACATCTAACCTGGGAAAATGGGTTTCTAAGTAACGTTCCACAGTAAATTATCAGAACTCCATGTACTCTTACTTTGCAAATATCTAAACATACATTGTGTTTGCTTCTCACGGAAGGTTTCTGAGTCATGAGCTAAAAAGAACGAGAGAAGGCTCCGAGGAGCAACTAGTTAAGCTTCGTGAGCAAGTTCTAAATTCGGGGTCTCTAACTGCAAGTCCAAAAGAATGCCATCTAAGGCGACTTCTGAAACCCAGACAACTATTCGAAAGCAATGGTTTCCAAACGACAGTTCATTACCGTTTGAATGTGGCAAGCTGTAAAACGAAAATAAAACAATAATTGTATATACACAGGCAATGATTGGTTGGCAACGACCTCTCTTTCTTACAAAGGACAGCCTTTATTCTGAGTTTTAGGGTTTTAGGACTTAGTGTTAAAGTACATTTTCTGAAGTCACGGTGGTCCAGGTAGCCCAAGTTTGCGTTTTAAATACCATTACATTACAACAGTAAAATACGGAACTTGGTTCATCCCTGAAGGTGGCCGGGAAAGTCCCCAGGAGCCCGGGAGCCACTGCCCCAGGGGTGCTCGTGGGCGTCAGCCTCCGAGAAGACGAAGAGCAGGAGGGGCTGGGCCGGGGACCCTGGCTACCGAAGCCTCCGTTCTCGCAGGACAGGTCCTGCGGTGGCTCGAGCGCAGGTCCAGACCTGGACCAACGGGTGCTGTCTTCACAACCGCCCCCCAGCCGGCAGCAGCCGAAGCTGGGGCCCCGGCGCCCGCCTCCACTCAGAGCTCAGGAGAGACGGTGCTGGGGGCCCACGGAGGGGGGGAGGGCCCAGCGAGGAGCGCACCGCCCCACAGAGCCCCAGCCCGCACCCCGGGCCGCCCTCCGCGCATGCCTACCCGGCGCGACCCCTCCCCGCTCACCCGGAGCTCCCGAGGCGGCTCCGGCTCGTGCGACGGTCGCCAAGGCGCCGGGACGCTGGGAGATGACTCGAGATCAGGACGCGACAGCAGCCGAGACTCGGAATAATGGAGGACCCGCGGGTACCCGGTACCACAACTTCCGGCCTCTCACCACACCCACCCTGCCCATCCCCAGCTCTCTAGGAAGCCGCGTCTCTATGGTTCCCTGCTTTTCGCTGGAGGGGACCCCGAATACCGCAGCTCTTGGATCCCTGGGTCTTGGTTCCTCCCGGAGAATGAGTGCGGGGACTGCTGCGTTGGGGACACGAAGGATGCAGAGATGAACCACATGGCTCTTGTCCTCAGGAGGCCTGGACCTCAGCAGCCGGGCCTTTCTGATTTATTTTGCATTTCAATTGAGGTTTTTGGGATTAATATCTCATATCGGCCTCCTGGGCACCTTTTCTCATCTATTCTTGAACCTATGGCAGTTCTTACAGTAAATAATAACATGGCTTATAAATGACCCCCTTGTGAATATGCTTACTTGGTGCATCTCTTGCCCACACGATGAGACGATGACCCACTTGATCTCTGAGAAGCGAGCCCAACACAAGCCTGTCTTTGTGGTTCTCCTGTTCAACTTGGTCTCATCTTGGCAGGCGGGAAGTTGACCTTCCCTTTTAGGGAGAGAAAAATGATACCCGGGCCTCTGTCATAGACCAGTGGCACACAGTTTGCATTAAAAACCAGTTTGCCCTGGTAGAGTGGGGTTTTAGAGAAAGATGAGAAGCACAACCTTAACATTCAGATTGGGATTTCCACATTAGTTCATCGAGGTTCCGAGGTCTTAGCCCCATGGAGAGCTGTCAGCCCTCTGCCTCCAGCCTCTTCTCAAATTCCTGTCTCTACGATGTCTATGCCTTTACACCAAGCTCAACAGAACTTTGTTTCCTCAGATAAGACCCAGTGGAAGATGTCCACAACGAAGAACGAATCTCAGTCTCCCCCAAAGGGCATTTATTGGGTTGACACACCCCTGACCATACCTGGTGTACTTATCGGGAGGGTTTCCAGAGAAACAGAACAGGAGACAGAGGTAAGGGGTTGGCCCACACGATTCCGGAGGTCGAGGGGTCCCAAGATCTTCGGTCAGCAGGCTTCAGGCCCAGGAGAGCCACAGGCGTAGTCCCAGTCCAGGTCTAAAGGCCTCAGAGCAGCAGGACAGCGGATGGTGAAATCCCACGCTGAGTCCAAAAGCCGGCAAACACCAGGCGGGCAGAGAGAGAACAGTCCTCCTTCCAAGGTTTTGTTCTCTCCCAGTGGGTGTCCGACAGACCGGATGGGGCCACCCACACTGGGAAGGGCAACCTTCACTCCTCCTGCCGATTCAGGTTACCCTCGTCCAGAAACACCCTCAGAGACACACCCAGAATAACTTTTAACCAGGTCTCTGGGCATCCTATGGTCGAGCTGACCTGTAAAATTACCCATCACACCTGGCTTTCTCCACATACAGTTTATAGAGTGTTGGAGAAGTTTATCTAGGCCCTGAGGGGCATCCGTGGTGGGTAGGTTCTGGTCAGTGTCACTTAAAAGGACCCAGATTTGGACGTCCATCTTGAAGATTTCCTTCCCCTGCCCATCACCCCCTTTACATCCTCAGTGAATGAGGGAACTCGTAACAAAGGGAAAGCTGAAAAACGGGACAGGCCGCCTGAGAAAAGCCAGACTATTTCAATCCTAATTGCATCACGATCACTGCAGAGGACATTCTGCCGCGCCCTCTGGACACCCCTAAGATCCTCCCCTTTGAGGGGCAATCTTACATAACTTACTGGAGGGGCAGGCTGAAAGCCCTGCATTGTCTGCCCTGTCCGGGAGCTGCCTTAGCTCCAGACACAGTCAGCTGGAGAAGGTCTACCTCACCAAGATCTCGCTTCCCGTCAGGGTGCTGTGGCAGAGCTTGCGTTCGGTGGCTGCCCAGCGAAGGAGGCCCAGACTTCTCAAGTGTGGACAATTTTGAAAGCTAATCCCTGTCTAACCAAGTCTGCAGCCAACAAAGGCCACACTGGTAACTCTGGGACCGCAACACAGCCAGCTCCTCCCACTACTAGCCCTGCTTTCTTCCCTCCCTACAGGTGTTAATCCCAGTAACACTCTCCAGCAAAGTTGCTGCTTGTCTTCATGTCTGATTTACTTCCCATAAAGCTTAACAACAAATAATTAGATAATTCCATTTTTAAGGTTGTATTCATTTTTAAACAACTCCCATGTATACTTGGAAATGTACATACCTAACTTATTTCATGTTACTTTCACTGGGGTGTAGCCCTATAAACATCTGGGCTTATTATGGAGATCTCAGTTCCAGCGCTCCACCTCTTCTAAGCCCCAAAACTCAAATCCTGCCCTTGCCGCTGATAAAACCTAAGTCCCTTGGACCAAGGCCACCAAACTGCCTCATGCCACCCAAGGCATCATCAACCACTTCCCTTTCTGGCTTCCACTTCATTTTAGCCTCTGAGGATTTATGTCACTTTATTAAAATTCCTCTTAAAGGATGTTTAAGTTTCATCTAGGTTTTCAGGTTGTTTTGTAGCCAAAGGGTTTTATGATGATCTGACTTACCATATTGTCCTATTGTATCCTTTAAAAACGTCAATCTCTGCTCAGTTCTGTGGTTAAACGAGCACTGCAAACGTGACAGCATTTTCTTTCAGATTCTGTAAACTGATTGCTAATTTGTTGTGACTACAAACTTTGGTCTATGGCTCAATAATTTTGTGACCCACAGGTTCTTCTGGGAAAAATGGATAATTATTACAAAAACAGTCACGTAGGGAGACAAGGAATTTTTTCTCCAATCCCCTCTGCAAGAGTTTTGTTTTATAGATTCATAGGCCCTGCTCCATGTGCACTGACCTGGTGGGCCTGGGGAAGTTTATCTGAATGTAGGAAATTACACTGGCCTTAGTTTCAGAGGCTGGTCACAGCGTTTGCATGTCCACAAACAGTAGAGTCAAACTGTGCCACAGGGACTGGGAATGGTCAGTGGGAGGAGGGAGAACCAGGCAGGTCCTGTGTCTACGTGGCCAGAGGGAGTCGGCCGTCGCCTTTCTTACCCCTCACAGACCTGCCTTCTGAAGCTGAAATGGACTTTTCGGGGAACCCGCCGGGTTTTATACAGGCAACCTAAGCCTACGTAACAGTGAGGCCAGAGAGGAGGCAGGACAACTGGCTGGACAAGTCCTCAAAGGAACTCAGGAAGGACACTGTCTAATGGCCAGACAACTCTTGTTTTTGTACTACAAGCATGAAAATGACAAGCTTCATCTGCATTTGAGTCAGAAACAAGCCAGATCACTTCTTCATTCCAAAAATAGCTGCGTAAAGAAAAGCTAACTGAATTGTTTTCTTCCCACTCCAAATAAAGGAAGGGAGCAAAAAGAAAAAAGAAATCAGTGATATTTATAACAAGTAAATAACAGCAGATATTTATTGGTGGAATCACAACTAGCTCCTGCAAGAACAGTTTTCATAACATCAGAAGTGATTAAAGAAGGTCTAGTTTCTAAAAACAATCTAACAATATGAGAATACTTATTTATGTTCAAATGAAAAAAACCAACGAAGGAAATCTGTCACTGAGGATACAGAGCTGAAACGAAATTTAGTCTCAGGGATTTCGACTCAACAGAATTACCCAGCGAAAGACCAACACAGTACAGACCATCAAAGAAAAGCATCTCTACGCTGAGGGAGACACTCTCCTCTCTCTGCAAGATTCTGTCTTTCATATTTCTTTTTAATCAAGGCTATGTAAAATGGGACTTTATTTCACACATTTTCTCTCAACTGAGAAAAAGACGCATGTACTTCTATTCCACACAAGAGCAATTCTACACAACCAGGATGTCTGTGGCTAGGACTGACCACTGCCTTTTCATAGTCCCCGGGAATGCTCAGGGCACTGAAAACACAAGTGGATAAACGTGAGTGCCCGGGAAGCCCGCAGGTGACAAGAGCAGGGATGGGGAACACACAGCAGCTTAGCGACGCCCGTTTCAGAAAAGCCGGCTTTCGGGTGGGGAGCAGAGAAGACGTGGCAGTGGCGGGGTGAGGAACATGAAAACTAACAACTGAGGGACAGCGGGCGAAGCGCTGCTGTCAGGGAACCACCAGGTTTCCCCTAGGGCAGGAAGCTGGGAAAACAAACAAACAAACAAACAACACACTCAAAGAGGCAGATGCTGAATCCCAGGCGGCATCATGAAGAGGCTTGAAAGGAAAGAAGGAACGGCGAACCCCGACTGCCTGAAGTAAGCAGCTGGTAAGTCTCAGAACACTCTAGAGGAAGGTGGGTGTTTGGTTCAAATTATACGGCAGGACAGTTACCTAAAATGGTACAGGGACCAGTTTACAAGGTGTACTCCTGCAGCTGACAGCAGGTGTCGGCCTAGGAGACGGGTGAGGACCTCCCCAGAGGCCCGGTAACTTAGTTTGCTGGGGTGGTGGGGGGGAGCAGCTGTGAAGATTTGTATCCGATCTCTGGGTCTGAGATGACAAGGTGCCCTTCCAAGAGGTATTCACTCTCGAAGGTGGCAACGTCTTTCAAGATAAAAGAGAGAGCCTATTTGAAGAAAGAATTCCAGACACTATGACACAGTGATGGGAAAATGCCACGCCCTCTTCCAACCATGTTTTCTGACAAGGTCTGAACATGGAAAAGAGGGAATTCAAGGAATCCATCTTCCTGGAAGAGAGCGTGGCATACAAAGGGGGGGGCGGTAATTTTTCTGGGGATTGCTCTTAATAATTTCCTTGCTAATATTGATCATGGTCTTACTTTGTACCCTGATTCCCATAAGAACAGGCCATGAGGAGAGAGAGGCTCGAAGAGAGTCAACGATTAACTTTGAGGGAAATTCTGAAGGGACAACTAGTTCTCCCCAGACTATTGAATCCTGCCCAAATTGTTTAAACAAGGTGTTTATAAACTTGAGTAAGAAATTATCCCCGATTGTTCCCATAAAAGAGTTCATGAATCAGTTGCAACAGGCTGAATTATTGGCAGACTTTCCCACGCCTGTTCCTTACCCATAGATACAAAGAGTCTTTCAAGAAAACAAGAAAAAATTATATAGACCCTTACCCACAGCCCAGGGATATCCCTGGGTAGCATATTAGACTATTGGCAAATTATGGTATCCCCCAAAAGGAGCTAATAGTCTCCAGAGGGTTCCAGATCCCCCATTGCCTTATACAGGAGCATATAATGAGGATGGCATTAGAATGGTCAATAAGGATAGAGTCCACGTGCCTTATAATAGTCTAAATTTCATGGAAAGGCTAGCTCAAAGCAGGCCTCCCTGGTGTCTATTAACTAAGGAACAAAAAAGGTTTACTGTGGCTGGATTTCCTATTTATCTCTCCTTACATGTTTGTTCTGGTGCTCAAAAGGTGGTGGAATTGTTAGACACCTGTATTTCAGGTTTATTGATTCACATAATTTCAATGAAGTTGTACAAAATAATTTCTTGACCAGAGAACAAAATCCCCTCTAATAAAATAGCCCCTGAATGTCTAAAAGTTGTTGGAGTAACAGCCCCGCCTTTACCTTGAATAGGAATATATATCAAGTAGAATTAGACAGACAAAGAAATAAGAAAAGCTGGTTAGCTGTTACAAACTAAGCACGTAGGAACAGTTACCAGGGAGTCAGAGTCCATGGTGCATAGAGAAACATTTTAGACAGAAAAGGTAAATAGCTAAGTTAGACATCACAAAGGCCTTATAATAAATTTCCTATACCCTCTACTCAATCTAGCGTATCCTTTTGCCCCATGACAAATTCTGAGAACTTTAATAAACAATAAGACATTCAAACTCTGTACGTACAGCTATTTCTAATTGTCTGATTTAAGGCTCTCCTGGTCAAAACAATCTTTGTTTAATATAACTGAATCTATGGAAACTTTTGTACTTTTCCTGGTTACCTTTATATTATTTTCTGCTTCACCTAATCGCAAATGTTAATCACTACCACAAATGAAAGTATAAAAACCTGCTTGTGCTTGCAATAAACGGAACAGAGCTTCACCGTCCTCTGAGGCGTGCTGTCGTCTGTCTCCCATCGCCGACGCCTTACCCACCTTTCAGGAACCCCTGGACCCCGCTGCGGCCGGACCTCGGCAGGAAAATGTCTTGTTCAGAGAACACCTGCTCAGAAATACAGGACCAACGTCTCTGCGTCAACAGCTCTGCCCGGCAATAGTAAGTGTGCACGAGACAAGCCCTGCCAGGCACACGAAAGCTGCCTGCCTGTGTCCTCAGAGCGGTTTGGGCAGGCTAGTCGGCGCCCGGCACAGCGAGTCACCTTCCACACAGGTGATCAGCAGGTGCGGGGGGCTGGCATGACAAAAGGCATGGAATACAACTTGTGACAGGAACCGTGACAAGGGCAAGATGATGGGAGTGCCCTTCACTGTTCTGTTTAGCCACTGTCACACGTGGAGTCCCCTAGCCTCAGGCCCACCCAGACTGCTGGGGAAGGTGCCACCTAAGGTGACCAGTGATTCCGCCCTATCCCCCGAACGCAGCAACCTGTTCCAGAGCCTCCCAACCTCGCTTTGGACTACTGTGCAAAGGGGGACTACTACATCAGAAAATGATGTGTGAGCCAGCATCCTATGAAAATAGAACAAAATGAGACAATCCTTTTTCACACAAATAGACCCTTCATATTTCACACTTCCTTCCTGCCAGTAACAGCAAGGTAAACATACATAATCCTTAAAACTAAGTTATAAGGTGCGGAGATAGGCCATAAATCTAACTCAGAAAACACTGATAGCACCTTCCTTATGAAACCATGATAAAAGAATTGTGCAGATACACTGACCACTGAGAGAAATGGCCGCTCAGAAGAATCTCAACTGGTCTCCCACTCACGGATACAACCACCATGGGGGGCTGAGGCACGCTGTCAGAGGAAGCAAGGACTTGAAAGTCACATCTGAGTTCAAATCCTGGCTCCATCCACTTACCAGCCAGTCACCTAACCTCACTCAATTCTCTTGTACAAATGTTATGATGATCAAATGAGAAAACACACACTCAACAGTCCCAGAAATGATAAACTATGGACATAAGACAAACAGCATTAGGCTTAGGGACTTGCTGTGTAGAAAGAAAGAGGGATGGCTGAGTTAAGTATGCGGATATTCCAGTGTTCCCAGAGGGATTTTTAACTAAGCACTTAAACAAGTTTAAAATGCTGGCTGAAAACGGTCTAAGGCCTTCTTGGAGGGCTGAACACACAGAAGGCCAGAGGGAGCTAGGGAGCACCCACAGTACTGACCACACAGAATCGCTCCCTTCTTCTAGCAAAGGCTTCTCTCAGTGATACACGGGGAAAGGAAGCAGGTGACAAGGCCTCAGCTCCTTTCCCCACTCCCCGAGTTTGAAGGAGTTGTGGGCGGAGCTTGAAGCGGCAGCCACCACCTTGCAGCCATGAGGTTGCAAAACGTGAAATCCAACGTGCTGAAAATTATGGAGCTGAGGTGGAAGTTTGATAAACTGCTGAGTTGCCAAACAAAATTTGGAATGGCTTACCTCTAGCCTTCCCCTTAACTAAACAATGTTCCTAAGGTCTAAGCCACTAGTACTTGGCATCATGTTCATCACACATGAAAATATCCTCAGTGCTACCTTAGGTAAACCTCTTCTGGAACAGCTCTTGCTAAGTGTTTAGAACACTGCCCCGATGTCCTACACTTAAGCAATTATTATTCACCATGTGCCAGGCTGCCACACATTACATGTGTTAGTATCTCATTTAATCCTCATGATAACCCTGTGAGGTCGGTAGTTACTCCCTTTTTCCAGACACATCTGAGGCTAAGAGCAGTTAGTGGCTTGTCCAGAATTGACAAGCTGGTGTGTCCATTTGGGGTGAGAACACGTGTGTCTCTGACCCCAAAGGCCACACTTTCAGCTACAAAGCTCCACATAACACGTGAAGGCGGTCTTCCTCTATGCCAGGTTCCGCTGACTGGATCTTTTGGAAGGCTAGGAACCTGCAGTCATTTCAATTCCAGAAGCACACGTTTCTGCCGCTTTGGTAGACATCTGTGGACCAGATGGCGCCCGGGCAGGTGGCTACTATCGGCAGATCCCCAGACAGCTGTGGGAAAGGAGGGCATTTAAACGTTCGCCGTGTGCTTTTAACCTAACAGTGGTTAAGGACGTGGACACACATTTTGTTGGCCACCGTCAAGTCAGCTTTTCTTACAGCTGAAAAGAGACCGAGGACTGCTGTTTCTGCTTTTACTGCACAGGAAACGGGCCCGCAAAGGAAGTGGCTGGCTCTTGGCGGCGCTGCCACTGCAAGCCGGCGTGAGGGTGCCATCCCAGGACGCCGGAGTCTGTGTTCTACGCGCCGTCCCCGACACCGTGTAGTCAAAGTGAGCATGTACTCACCGCATTTAAAAAATACTGGACTTTTCCCCTAAGTATACAAAAGTACGTTCTCGTTGTAGAAAAGTCTAAAACACACAGAAAAGTATAAAGAAGAAAATAGGAACACTTACAACCCTATCACCCGGAGGTAGTCACTGTTAACACTGTGGTGTGGTATCACTTCTTACCCATCTTTGTCCAACGCAGAAATGCTTTGTTTCCATTTGGATCATATTTCCTTGTTTTTTCTTTCTTTTATCTCCCATTTTATCTAAATCATTTCCCCCATGGCATTAAATATTCTTTAAAAATCTTTACAGTGACTGCAAACCATGAATTTAAAGCCTGTGCTACTGAAAACCTAGTTTTCTTCCTTTAATTATACCCCTGCTGGCATGAATCTCTCAAGTATTAATCAGTCTGTTTCTGATTACTTTCCCTGTATGGATTCTTAGAAATACAATTAAGGCTGATGACACTGAAAACCTGCTTTTCTGAAAAGTAGCAATTAGTCCTCCTACCAACAGTACATGCTATTTATGAGGTTTCTTTCTCCTCAGAATGTTTCCTCTGGTGCTGAATTAGCTGTGAGCTGTAACGATATGCTTTCCCACACTCACTGCATTTATAGGGCTTCTCCTTGGTGTGGGTTCTCAGATGTAGGATAACCTGGGAGGTCTGCCTGAAGGTCTTTCCGCACTCGTTACAGCTATAGGGCTTCTCTCCAGTGTGAACTCTCTGATGATCAATAAGGTTTCGATTAGAAGTAAAAGCTTTCCCACACTCGTTACATTTGTAAGGCTTCTCTCTACGATGAAGTCTCTGATGTTCGTTAAGGGTCTTCCTTAGGATGAAAGCTTTTCCACACTCATCACACTCATAAGGCTTTTCCCCTGTGTGAATTCTCTGATGGTCCATAATCTTTGTATTAGACACATACATTTTCCCACATTCCTTACACTTGTAAACTTTTTTGCCTTTGTGCATTCTCTGATGTTGAGTGAGGTTTGAGCTACGGCTAAAGGCTTTCCCACACTGGATACAGGTGTATGGCTTCTCCCCAGTGTGAACTCTGTGATGTGAAATGAGACCTGAACTCCGGCTAAAAGCTTTCCCACACTCCTTACATTCATAAGTTTTCTCCCCGCTGTGGATCCCCTGGTGCCGAATGAGGTGCGACTTACCGCTAAAAGACTTCCCACACTCGCTGCAAGTGTAGGGCTTCAGGCCAGTGTGGGTTCGCCGATGAACCACCAGGTTGGAGCTGTGGCTGAAGGCCTTTCCACACTCCTTGCACTTGTAGGGCTTCTCTCCTGTGTGGGTCCGCTCATGCACCGTAAGGTTTGCGCTCTGACTGAAGGCCCTCCCGCACTCGGCACAGACATACCGTCTCTTCCCGGCCTGAACCCTCTCGCTTGCTGCAGGACCAGAGCACTGACTACCATCTTTCCCAGATGCTTGGTCACTTGCTCCTGGGAGTGTCTTGTTGTCTTTAACTGTCTTATGTTTGAAGCTTCTTGTCTTTCTCCTCATTTTCTCTTGCATGGAACATCCCAGTGGCCTTTTGAGTCTTCTTTCCCTTTCTAGGTTTTGACTCCCTTGGCAACACCTCAGTGGAGTTCTCTTGAAAGTATGAGATTGGACGTTTCAGAAATGATACTCTGGAATCAACACCTCCTCAGTGCCAGTCTCACCATCTGACAGAACAAACAGAGATTACACACGTCACCTGTGCTCCCTACTAGCGGAAGGAGAATTACCCAAGGATAACAAGGTGTGGTAGACCACAGGGTCTCACCTGGAAGAGGAAGTGTTCAAAGGCAGGGGAACTGAGCAAACACGATGAGAAAATGAGGTCAGACAAAGAGGCCAAGGTGAAGCCTCATGGACCAGCGGGTCCAGCATCAGAGTGAACAGTGAGTAGGACGCGGTCCACCCTGCCTTCTTCCTGCCTCATGCCCTACTCCCCGAGTTGGAGCCATCTTGTCCCTAAAAAAAAAATGAACGGAACGATCCTTAATTCAGTAACTCAGATGACTAATTTTCAGACCATTTTGGCTTTTGGTTCTTATTGACCTATTCCCCTGGTACCAGTAGTACCAGGCTGGCACAAAATAGCTGCTGGAGAACTGTTTTACAGAATAGCCACTGGGGTTATGTCTCAGGGTGTGTCTAAGATTTCCTTTTTTGTTCCAGTCGGGGTAGTAGGCCCCTGTCTACATTGTTCTTAGGCTCTGTCTGGATAAGGAGTAACACGGCTCTTGCGATACTGGAGCCTGATCACATCACAGCCTGCCCTGCAGGTGCTGGTGCGTCACTGGATCCAGCTACGCGGACTGGTTCCGTCTGCCGGCTTTGCCCCAGGCTGTCAGCCCGGCAGACTGAGCTGAAGCACAGCAGGGGAAACTCGGACAGCGCCTCCGTGCGCGGCATAATGGTAATGTTTCTGAAGGTGAGGGCAGGGGACGGCACAACCAAGAGGGGCTGATCGCGAAACCTAGGTCAGGAACGAGCAGGACTTTCCTACAGGGTTTAAAAATGTGCACTGAATTTATTGGGCTGACATCGGTTAATAAAATTATATAGGTTTCAGGTGTACAATAATATAATACATCATCTGTACACTGTGTTGTGTGTTCACCACCCCCACTCCTCTTCTGTCACCACTTACCCGCCCTTTCCCCCTTCTACCTCCCTATGGGTCTGATGTGTAACTCTAGACGTACACGTGCAGAACCCTAGCAGAGCTGCAACTCCCGGAGACCGATGGGTATGTGTTCTGATCTCAGGACCCCCTATTCATTTTAGGCTACAAAGAACCCACAGTGCTAAGTGGCTGAGCCCACAGGCTGAGTGCTACTGAGACACACACACACACACACACACACGCATGCACACACACACACTTACCTGTGGAGGATGTATTCCTTTAATTTGCCAGCATCACCCTCCTGTTCAGGTCCCTCTGAGCAGTGGTCACATGGTTCTCGGTTACTGATTCACTGCAGTGGAGTTAAGAATAAAAGATAAGACTTAACAACAAATCCCAGAGAGACAGATGATACAATATAAAAACTGAAAGGAAGGAAAAGAGAGAAAGAAAAGAAGTATCAGGGGGCCACTGACTCTCAGGGGAAGGCCTGAGCCTTACACACAGAACAAAGGCGGACAGCATGACAGCAGACTGAGAGATCCGACCGCATAAAAACGTCTGTGCTTCAGAAAACCCTGTAAGGAACCTGTGATATACACCAGAGTTGCCTTATCCTACAATTACGTGTGTGTGTCTGTGCCCCTCCTCAACATTCCTACGTGGGTCCCGCCCAGCGCCTGGCACAAAGAGGGCTCTGTACATGCTGTGTGACTTGGAATGTTAAACAGGCGCAGGATTCTACCTGATTCCGTCTGGGTGTGGGAATGGGGAGATGCGCATCCTCCGAACATAACCACCGCCCCCCGCCATCCTCCCTCCAGCTGGGTCGTCCCTTTTGTGCTCCATATCGTTTGAACCCCACGACAGTGTATTTGCTTTCTTGGCAATTCTGTCTCAATGGGGCCATCGAAGGGGCTAAATTTCCTAAGAGATTGATCTACCCACCTACTCAGAGACTGTCAGAATGTCAGAGCTGCAAGAATCTCCCAGGCCACTGGTCCTATCAAAATGTAGAGATGGGGACACTAGAACTAAGAGGGGAGCTGGGACCCAAGTCCAAGTCTCCTGACACATTTGAGTTCTGTATGTCACCCTTCCGCTCATTCCAAAACCCTGCTCCTCTAGGTCCACGCAGCCCCACCCCATCCCGCCCTTCTCTCTCTCGTCCTAGATAAACAGCCATCCAGAGACGCTCCCTGTCAGCCCTGCCCCTCTCTAGCAAGCAGGACCCCTGTCCACAGACTAACTGGTTTCACAGGACGGGTCTCCCCTGCCCAGGAGGGGAGGGAGCTGCCCACTCTCTCCCGTGCACAGCAGCCCCCCTCCACAGATCTGCCCAGCACAGATCGCGCCTGGCCTCTTCCTTGGGTTTGGTGAGCAAGTCCCTACTGGGGTCTGGAATCACTGTAAACAGACACAGTGTGTACCCCGAGTGGACACTCAGGGCAGAGTCCCCGCCCTGGGCAACTCCCCTGTCTGTTGAACTTCGAACAGTAAGGATGATCACTCCTGCTGATATTTAAAGAGTGAGGGAATGAAGCTCCCGAGGGTGGTGACGTGCCCAAGGCTGCACGACGAGGCCCGAGAGACAAGCCTCCCATGTCTGAGGGGACACTCCTTCCCTCACACCAGAGTCACCCCCTTTCACCTCTTCCGTCGATATCTGAAAGTCTCCACGTTCTCCTCTACCTGCAAAGTGCACTCCAGCTGAGACGTCCTCTGCACTTCAGCTTCCTGACAAAAGTTTGCAGAAGGGAGGCGAGAGAGGGTCTTTGCTGAGTCAAGTGTCTGTAGAGAGACAGGAAAAATACGGCTTTAAAAGGATGTTAGGAGAATTTTTAAAAATAACTGCCCATCTCGGAGGATCACTAGACCTCCACTACTTTGTGTTTCTGGCTCCAGAGTCCCAGCCTCTGCTTCTAAACCTTCGGGCTTGTTCCATTTCTTCCTACCGGAATGCAGCTCTGCCTCATGCACGCTGAATCCCAGGACCCAGCACACTACTTAAGCAGGTGATCAGTAAGTATTTGTTGGATGAATGAACGAACGAATGAATGAGTAACCTTGGGCAAGACTCCGCCTTCTTCGCTGGGTCCTGGGTCCGTCTCCTCACTGGAACACAGCCGGGATCGGACGGGTGACTTAAATAAAACATTCAAGTGTTGTAGGGTCCTTTGAGGGCCTGGCTGGACTTCGACAACTCTGTTACCAGGGTGGCCCACTGGCTAGGGGCGGGGATGACACAGTTCTGTCACTACCATCAGCCCAGTCAGAGCCGGCAGCCTCGCCTATTGGGAGACGAAACCCCAAACAAAAGGGCAGCGCCGAACAAAGTGGGGGGAGGCCAACAACGACACCTTGACCTGCCGCACCCCCGTCTCTGCAGCGGAAGCGGTTGAACAGGGCTGGCTCCCGGCCTGTGACCCCCACCCACTCCCAGAACCCTGCCCGGACCCCAAAGCCAAGTTGCCACATACCCCTCACCGAAAGTGCCTGACCTACATCTTGGAAAGAAGCGCAGAAGGAATTACGTCACCGACACCCTACTAACTCGCATCCCAACCCTCTGGCCCTTCTAGGCATCAGGAGGTTTCTGCATCTCTGTACCCGGGAGGTGGGAGTCCTTTCGCCCCTTTGCTAGCCAGTTTGGTACACAGGCATCCCGGTCCCACCCCCTGAACAAGTTTTGCCCTACCATTGGCTGGGAGGACGAAAGGGCTCGGTGGGTTCAGCCAATATAAGGAGGGTCCTGGAAAAGGTGGAGCCTAAGAGGCGGGCTAGGTGGGCTAGCCGAGAACAGCCTGCGCCCCTAAGCACTGAGGCCCCCGACTGTCACGACTGTCACACCGCCAGCTCCAGATGCTGAACGGAAAAACCATCTTCCCTTATACAGATCCCGCGCTTTCAGTCTCAAAGCCAGGATCAGCAGCACACGAAAGGAACTTGGGGGTGCCTACACGTCCTGTTCCAGGCCTGCGGATCCAGCAGGGAAGAAAATGAACTCGCTGGTCCAGGAAGCTCACCTTCAAGTCAGGGGAGACAATGATGAATAAACCGTAGGACGTGGTAGCAAGGGGAGAAAGAGAGGGATGGCGTGGGACTGTTTTACAGGTGACAGGAAGTGGGCAACTGGGGCGTGTAGGCATCTGGGGGAAGCGCGTTCTTGACAGAGGGAACGTCGGGAAGCAAAGGCCCTTAAATCAGGAGGCAGAGAAGACCGGCATTTGGGACCGCACGGGCCTTTGGGTGTTTCCCAAATACCAAAGGGTTTGTGACAGAGGACTGACACGATCTTGCCTTGTTTTCCCTGCCACATGTTCAAAGATTTATTAGCCATCAGATGTGAAAAGAACAAAGAGATCTGTTCCTATAAACCGTTAATTTCTTGCTCTCAGTGCTTAGTCATTCTGACAGAAACCTTGCTTGCATGGAAGTTTTACTCCACGGGACAACATTTTCAATATTTTCTCTGGCTGCTCTGTTGAGAAGCATCTAAAAGCTGGCAAGAGTGGAAGCAGAAAGATTAAGAGGCTACTGCGGTATTTCAGATGAGAAATGATAGTGGCTTGGATGAGCTTAGAAACGACAGAGTGCAGGTGATGCGAATTGGTTCTGCGTGTACTTTGAAGGCATGGTCAGCATGACTTGGCAATGAACTTGATGTTGGCTAAGGGTGACTCCATGGTTATTGATCAGAGCAACCAGAACAAGAGAGTAGACTGAAAGAAGAACAAGTTTAGAAAGAGGGATCAATGGTTCTGTTTTGGATGTGCTGAGTGAGATGCCAATTAGACATCCAAGAGGAAATGGCAAACAGTTGTACTAGGAGTTAGGAGTTCAGTGAAGAAATCACAGCTAGAGATGTAAATTTAGGAGGTGCCACTGTGTCACTACAGGGCAGTCAGGATAATCTAGGGAATGACAGTAGATAAAGAAGTCACTTGAGGATTGAAATCTGAAGCTCATCAATCAACAAATATGTAATAGATACTTAGAGCTTTCTTATCCATCACTTCATGTAGGTAGCACAGTAACTGCCACATTTTTTAGAGGAAACTGGGAAACAGAGGTTCAGAGAAATTATAAGATCTACACAAGTTCACCCCCTCCCCCAGCTGGTGCTAGAAGGAGAACTCAGGAGCACAACACTACGGCCACTACATCAGGAAACACTTAAGAAGAGTATTCATGCACATTCAGACAGGTATAATTATACACAGCTTGCTCTTGCTTTTCAGCTATTCTTTTATTTGGGAGAGGGTCATTAAGTCTGATGCAAGCTGCTAACTCCACATCTGGTTGCAGAGATTAATGA